TCTCAAACTACAGAAATAGCAACATCTGGGACAACTGAGGGAAGTACAGCTCAAACGACAGAAATTGCAATAGAAACAACTACTATTGCAACAACTGATTTCTCTGAGACAACTATTGCAGAAGAAACTACAGAAATGAAAAGAGTGGGACAACTGAGGCAATAACAGCTCAAACGACAGAAATAGCAGCAGAAACTACAACAATTGCAACAACTGAGGCCTCTGCGACAACTATAGTAGAAGAAACTACGGATATAACAACATCTGGCACAACTGCAGCAAGTACAGCACAAACTACAGAAATAGCAACACCTGGGACAACTGAGGGAAGTACAGCTCAAACGACAGAAATTGCAATAGAAACAACAACTATTGCAACAACTGAGGTCCCCGAGACAACTATAGCAGAAGAAACTACAAAAATAACAACGACTGAGACAACTGAGGCAAGTACAACTCAAATAACAGAAATAACAGCAGCTGAAACTACAGAACTGAGGACAACTGGGACAGCTGTGGCAAGTACATCTCAAACTACACAAATAACAACAACTGGGGCAACCGAGACAAATACAGCTCAAACGACAGAAATGACAGCACAAACTACAGAAACAGCAACAATAGGGACAACTGCGGCAAGTACATCTCAAACTATACAAATAACAACAACTGGGGCAACTGAGGCAAGTACAGAACAAACTACAGAAATTACAGCTCAAACTACAGAACTAAGGACAACTTCGGCAAGTACAGCACAAACTACAGAAATAGCAACAGCTGAGACAACTGGGGAAAGTACAGCTCAAACTATTGAGGTAACAACAGTTGAAACAACTGAGGCAAGTACAGCACAAACTATACAAACAACAACAGCTGAGACAACTGGGGCAAGTACAGCACAAACTACAGGAATAACAACAGCTGAGACAACTGCAGCAAGTACAGCACAAAATACCGAACTATTAACAACAGCTGAAACAACTGAGGCAAGTACAGCACAAACTACAGAAACTATAGCTGAAACAATTGAGGCAAGTACAGCACAAACTACAGAACTAACAACAGCTGGGACAACTGAGGCAAGTACAGCACAAACTACAGAACTAACAACAGCTGGGACAACTGAGGCAAGTACAGCAACCCAAACTACAGAACTATTTAGAACAACAGCCGAGAGAACTGAGGCAAGTACAGCACAAACTACAGAAGCATTATCAACAGCTGAGACAACTGCAGCAAGTAAAGCGCAAACTACAGTGCTGAGAACAGCTGGGACAACTGAGGCAAGTACAGCACAAACTACAGAAGCATTATCAACAGCTGAGACAACTGAGGCAAGTACAGCACAAACTACTGAACTATTAACAGAAGCTGAAACAACCAAGGCAGGTACAACAAAAACTACAGAAATAACAACAGCTGAGAGAACTGACGCAAGTACAGCACAAACTACAGAACTATTAAGAACAGCTGGAACAACTGAGGCAATTAAAGCAACCCAAACTACAGACATAACAACAGCTGAAACAACTGAGGCAAGTACAGCACAAACTACAGAACTATTAACAACAGCTGAAACAACTGAGGCAAGTACAGCTCAAACTACAGAACTATTTAGAACAACAGCTGGGACAACTGAGGCAAGTACAGTACAAACTACAGAACTATTAACAACAGCTGAAACAACTGAGGCAAGTACAGTACAAACTACAGAAACTATAGCTGAGACAACTGAGGCAAGTACAGCAACCCAAACTACAGAACTATTTAGAACAGCCTTGACAACTGAAGCAAGTACAGCACAAACTACCGAATTAACAACAGACTGGGACAACTGAGGCAAGTACAGCAACCCAAACTACAGAACTATTTAGAACAACAGCCGAGAGAACTGAGGCAAGTACAGCAACCCAAACTACAGAACTATTATCAACAGCCGAGACAACTGAGGCAAGTACAGCAAAAACTACAGACATTACAACAGCTGAGAGAACTGAGGCAAGTACAGCACAAATCACAGACATAACAACAGCTGGAACAACTGAGGCAAGTAAAGCAACCCAAACTACAGAACTATTTAGAACAACAGCTAAGATAACTGAGGGAACAGCTGGGAAAACTGACGCAAGTACAGCACAAACTACAGAGGTATTATCAACAGCTGAGACAACTGAGGTTAGTACAGCGCAAGCTACAGACATAACAACAGCTGAGACAACTGCAGCAAGTACAGCACAAACTACTAAAATAACAACAGCTGAGACAACTGAGGCAAGTTCAGCACAAAGTACAGAACTAATAACAACAGCTGGGACAACTGAGGCAAGTACAGCACAAACTACAGAAACTACAACAGCTGAGACAACTGAGGCAAGTACAGCAACCCAAACTACAGAACTATTTAGAACAGCCTTGACAACTGAAGCAAGTACAGCACGAACTACCGAACTAACAACAGGTGGGGCAACTGAGGCAAGTACAGCACAAACTACAGAACTATTTAGAACAACAGCTGGGACAACTGCAGCAAGTACAGCACAAACTACCGAACTATTAACAACAGCTGAAACAACTGAGGCAAGTACAGCACAAACTACAGAAACTATAGCTGAGACAACTGAGGCAAGTACAGCAACCCAAACTACAGAACTATTTAGAACAGCCTTGACAACTGAAGCAAGTACAGCACAAACTACCGAATTAACAACAGCTGGGACAACTGAGGCAAGTACAGCAACCCAAACTACAGAACTATTTAGAACAACAGCCGAGAGAACTGAGGCAAGTACAGCACAAACTACAGAACTGGGAACAGCTGGGAAAACTGACGCAAGTACAGCACAAACTACAGAGGTATTATCAACAGCTGAGACAACTGAGGTTAGTACAGCGCAAACTACAGACATAACAACAGCTGAGACAACTGCAGCAAGTACAGCACAAACTACAGAACTATTAACAGAAGCTGAGACAACTGAGGCAAGTACAGCACAAATCACAGACATAACAACAGCTGGGACAACTGACGCAAGTGCAGCACAAACTACAGAACTATTAAGAACAGCTGGAACAACTGAGGCAAGTAAAGCAACCCAAACTACAGAACTATTTAGAACAACAGCTAAGATAACTGAGGCAAGTGCAGCACAAACTACGGAACTAACAACAACTGGGGCAACTGAAACAAGTACAGCAACCCAAACTACAGAACTACTAAGAACAGCTGAGACAACTGAGGCAAGTACAGCACAAACTACCGAACTAATAACAGGTGGGGCAACTGAGGCAAGTACAGCAACCCAAACTACAGAACTACTTAGAACAGCTGGTACAACTGAGGCAATTACAGCACAAACTACAGACATTACAACATCTGAGACAACCAAGGCAAGTACAGCACAAACTACAGACATCACAGCTGAGACAACTAGGGCAAGTACAGCACAAACTACAGATGTATTAACAGCTGATACAACGGAGGCAAGTACAGCACAAACTACAGAACTAGTAACAACAGCTGAAACAACTAAGGAAAGTACAACAACCCAAACTACAGACACAACAACAGCTGAAACAACTGAGGCAAGTACAGCACAAACTACAGAAATAACAACAGCTGAAACAACTGAGGCAAGTACGGTACAAGCTACAGATGTATTAACAACAGCTGAGACAACTGAGGCAAGTACAGCACACAGTACAGAACTATTTAGAACAGCTGAAACAACTGAAGTAAGTACAGCTCAAACTACAGAAACAACAACAGCTGGTACAACTGAGGCAATTACAGCACAAACTACAGACATTACAACATCTGAGACGAACCAAGGCAAGTACAACACAAACTACAGACATAACAGCAGCTGAGACAACTGAGGCAAGTACAGCACCAAACTACAGATGTATTAACAGCTGATACAACGGAGGCAAGTACAGCACAAACCACTGAACTAGTAACAACAGCTGAAACAACCAAGGCAAGTACAGCACAAACTACAGACATAACAACAGCTGAGACAACTGAGGCAAGTACGGTACAAGCTACAGATGTATTAACAACAGCTGAGACAACTGAGGCAAGTACAGCTCAAACTACAGAAAAAACAACAGCTGGTACAACTGAGGCAATTACAGCACAAACTACAGAAACAACAACAGTTGAGACAACTGAGGCAAGTACAGCACAAACTGCAGACATCACAGCTGAGACAACGGAGGCAAGTACAGCACAAACTACAGAACTAGTAAAAACAGCTGAAACAACCAAGGCAAGTACAGCACAAGCTACAGACATAACAGCAGCTGAAACAACTAAGGCAAGTACAGCAACCCAAACTACAGACATAACAACAGCTGAGACAACTGAAGCAAGTACAGCACAAACTGCAAAATTAACAACAGCCGAGAGAACTGAGGCAAGTACAGTGCAAACTACAGAAGCATTATCAACAGCTGAGACAACGGAGGCAGGCACAACACAAACTACAGAACTGAGAACAGCTGAAACAACTGAGGCAAGTACAGCACAAAGTACAGACATAACAGCAGCTGAAACAACTAAGGCAAGTACAGCAACCCAAACTACATACATAACAACAGCTAAGACAACTGAAGCAAGTACAGCTACAAATTACAAAAATGACAACAGCTGAAACAACTGAGGCAAGTACAGCACAAACTACAGAACTAGGAACAGCAGCTGAAACAACTAAGGAAAGTACAACAACCCAAACTACAGACATTGCAACAGCTGAGACAACTGAGGCAAGTACAGCACAAATTACAGAGCTATTAACAACAGCTGGAACAACCAAGGCAAGTACAGCACAAACTACAGACATAACAACAGCTGAAAAAACTGAGGCAAGTACGATACAAGCTACAGATGTATTAACAACAGCTGAGACAACTGAGGCAAGTACAGCACACAGTACAGAACTATTTAGAACAGCTGAAGCAACTGAAGTAAGTACAGCTCAAACTACAGAAACAACAACAGCTGGTACAACTGAGGCAATTACAGCACAAACTACAGACATTACAACATCTGAGACAACCAAGGCAAGTACAGCACAAACTACAGACATAACAACAGCTGAGACAACTGAGGCAAGTACAGCACAAACTACAGATGTATTTACAGCTGATACAACTGAGGCAAGTACAGCACAAGCTACAGACATAACAGCAGCTGAAACAACTGAAGCAAGCACAACACAAACTACAGAACTGAGAACAGCTGAAACAACTGAGGCAAGTGCAGCGCAAACTACAGAAATAACAAGAGCTGAGACAACTGAGGCAAGTACAGGAACCCAAACTACATACATAACAACAGCTAAGACAACTGAAGCAAGTACAGCTCAAATTACAAAAATGACAACAGCTGAGACAACCGAGGCAAGTACAGCACAAACCACAGACATAACAACAGCCGATACAACTGAGGCAAGTACAGCACAAATTACAGAGCTATTAACAACAGCTGGAACAACCAAGGCAAGTACAACACAAGCTACAGACATAACAGCAGCTGAGACAACTGAGGCAAGTACAGCACAAACTACAGATGTATTAACAGCTGATACAACGGAGGCAAGTACAGCACAAACTACAGAACTAGTAACAACAGCTGAAACAACCAAGGCAAGTACAGCACAAGCTACAGAAATAACAACAGCTGAAACAACAAAGGCAAGTACAGAACAAGCTACAGCCATAACAGCAGCTGAGACAACTGAAGCAAATACAGCACAACCTACAGAACTGAGAACAACTGGGACAACTGACGCAAGTACAGCACAAACTACAGAAATAACAACAGCTGAAACAACTGAGGCAAGTACGGTACAAGCTACAGATGTATTAACAACAGCTGAGACAACGGAGGCAAGCACAACACAAACTACAGAACTGAGAACAGTTGGGACAACTGAGGCAAGCACAGCACAAAGTACAGACATAACAACAGCTGAAACAACTGAGGCAAGTGTAGCGCAAAGTACAGAAATAACAACAGCTGAGACAACGGAGGCAAGTACAGCACAAACTACAGAACTGAGAACAGTTGAGACAACTCAGGCAAGTACAGCACAAACTACAGACACAACAACAGCTGAAACAACTCAGGCAAGTACAGCACAAACTACAGAAACAACAACAGCTGAAACAACTGAGGCAAGTACAGCACTAACTACAGAAACAACAACATCTGAGACAACCGAGGCAAGTACAGCACAAACTACAGAAACAACAACAGCTGAGACAACTGAGGCAAGCACAGCTCAAACTACAGAAATAACAACAGCTAAGACAACTGAGACAAGTACAGCACAAACTACAACTGATGAAAGTACCGCACAAACTACAGAAATAACAACAGCTAAGACAACTGAGACAAGTATAGCACAAACTACAACTGATGAAAGTACCGCACAAACTACAGAAGTAACAACAGCTGGGACAATTGAGGCAAGTACAGCACAAGCTACAGAAAGTACAACATCTGGGATAACTGGGGCAAGTACGACAACCCAAACTACAGCACTATTAACAACAGCTGGGACAACTGAAGCCATTACAGCACAAACTGAAGAAATAACGCCATCTGTAACATTTCAGGCAAGTACAGCACAAAGTACAACTGAGGAAAGTACGGCACAAACTACAGAAGTAACAACAGCTGGGACAACTGAGGAAAGTACGGCACAAACTACAGAAGTAACAACAGCTGGGACAACTGAGGAAAGTACGGCACAAACTACAGAGGTAACAACAGCTGGGACAACTCGTACAGCTGAGACGTCTACAGAAGATATTACAAAGAAAACAACAGCTGAGCCACTGAAGAAAACTACCTTAGAAACCACTACAGCTGACACAACTGAGGCAACTACAGTACGTTCTACAGAAACGACAACAGTTGAGACAACTGAGGCAACTACAGTACGTTCTACAGAAAAGACTACAGTTGAGACAACTGAGGCAACTACAGTACGTTCTACAGAAAAGACGACAGTTGAGACAACTGGGGCAACTAGAGCAGAAACAACAGAATCATCTACAGCTACACGGGAGACATCCACTGGCAAAAGCACACCTATTTTATCAAGTACACCACAGTTGGGAACTACACCTTCAACCGGTATGTTGGTTTCTGAAATATTTTAACTTATTATAGAGTGAATTAGAAAGAGCACTTTTCGTAGCCTGGCCAATATACAATTTGCTGTAACAGTTTTTGATCTACCGTATAATGTATGACCTCAATGAAAAATGGATGTATTGTTTGGTTTGTGTGTGTGGATATATATGTCTGTGTGTAACAATAGAAATGTTGAAATGAAACCTAAGGATTACTTAAGGACTTAACGTTTTGGGTTAATGTTATCAACTATGTATGTATAATCAATGGGGTTCATAATGAAACGCTATCTTTCCCACTCTAGCTGGTGAGTGTGGCTGCCCTCCACAGGCCGACCATGCAAACGTACAACTGACAGGGACAACAGCTGGCTCTACAGCCACCTACACGTGTAAGGAATGGTTTCACCTGACCAGTGGAGATACAACTCACATCTGTGGCAGCGATGGAATATGGGAAGGCACACTGCCCATCTGTGAAGGTAGACGTTAATTAACTTAATGCGCTAATATCAACTTTCTAAGTTACCTTGGCCAAAGGGATATCCTTTTGGTGCTGTTTGTATGTTATAACAACAATATTTTTCTTTATTGCCACAAGAAAAGTACGGCTACTTTCGTAAGGCCTAGTACTACAACTAAGCATACAGACAGATGAATTAACGCCAACCAACTTACGAATAAATCGACATATTGACTGTGACGTATCATGTATACTACTGGTTCTAGTTGATATATTGTCCTATTTGATGAATGGCATGTTGATGAAAGATGTCCAAACCCTGAAAGAAAACACTCCGGCTCACAACTGAGTTGCCCAGACGGAAGTATCAGCAGCTGCTGTGCGCACAAGGTCAAAGGTCATGCCTTCACCTTTGACATTTGACCCCCAGTGCGCATGAAACCCTGAACTTCGCGAGCAAAATTTTAGCCGACACAATCGGGCGTTAACGTACGTTTGAGCTAAAGGCAGATCATCTGTGGCCGAATGGACCGGACAGTTACGATTTTTCCACGTTAACACGACTGCTTGGAGTATAAAGTTAGTATATAATTTAGCCAACATAAACGTTACTATAGAGTAGTGTACAGCGCTGGGTTGTTTTGCCATATAACTTAGTTGTCAAGCCAGTCTACCATGCTCCAGAAGCGGCTGGAAAAGGGTAAAAATTGCCCAGATAACTTGCCAGGGGAGTTTCCAGCCGCTTCCGAAGCCTGGTAACTTAACATTTGTCCAGTCTTGTGTTGAGTTGAAGATATCTCACAACTGTCACTGATGTTGCATTTCCAAAGTAACGTCTACTCGAGTGTCTCTATCCCAGCAACTATCACCGTCACTCCAACCCATCTGATGAAATGCATGTTAAAATCTTCCCCTACAGCTACGGTACCTTGCGTCCGCTTCTGTGGGTTTGGGGTCTGTTACGTTGACGATGGTGGTATGCAGAGATGTGACTGTGATGCTGGCTATGACTTCTTTGGCAGAGCTCAGTTTTGCCTTGGTGAGTAATTGAAGAAGGGATACTTTATTAAATAGAATTATGTTATAATATCAGCGCTCGAAATATTACCTGCATATGCAGATATAGTACAGGTAAAATTGGGGGCTGTTAAGGTATTTCTGATGTCCACATGTACCTAAAAATCCTGTCCATGCACTCACGTTAAAAAAAAGATGGGTGTATGTTGATCTTCCTTTGTGACTTTATTTTGAATGATTATTGTAAAAAAAATAATGCCAATGGTTTCTGAACAGTTTTTACTCTTTAGTATGATCCTTTAGTCCCTAAAGTCTGACTGGTGCAGGTAAAATTTAATTATCTGATCCTGGCAAATTTTAATGTTACCAGCACCAGTGTATAATGGAGGCATGTTTGTTAAAATCATGTTTTCTATACATTATTTCTTTTCAGATGTCAACGAGTGCTTAGTTGGGCTGGATTATTGCTTTGAAAGACCAGCTTGTGTGCCTGAGGCAGACTGCAGCAATGTTCCCTATGGGTCCTACAGCTGTCGCTGTCCTATAGGGTACACTGGAGATGGGAGGACTTCATGTCAAGGTATATGTTTTAATACATCAGCAGAAGAATGTACTGCACCAGTGCAAAACCCAGATTTTTCACGCATTTTGTTGGATGTTAGGACAACGTTGCATCAGTATTTTGCCTGTTGCAAACAATATCTTAAGTTTTCCGTTGTTTTAATATATCAGCAGAATGTACTGCACCTGAGTGCAAAACCCAGATTTTTCACGTATTTTGTTGGATGTTGCTTCATAACTTGACCCCAAGATGCTTGTTGATTATTCTTGCAGACATTGATGAATGCGAGGATAGCCCATGTTCTGAGAATGCTGCCTGTACCAACACACCAGGCAGTTACACATGCCGGTGTCGAGAAGGATACAGAAGATTTGGCAGATCTTGCATTGGTTTGTAGTGAACCTGATAACAATAAATTTTTGTCACTTTCTATGCAAAAAATAGGCAATTGCAATGCCTACATTTTCAACAATATTTTAACAATAATTGACATTTTACATTGTACAAATTGGTGTACTTGAGCCACCATACAGATCATCGAAATACATTGTATTTTCTGTTTATATTCAACAAAATTGTGCTATTCAGTCGCAACATACATGTTTTACTTTGTGCTTAAAATTTGCAGCACCATTCCTTTGTCATTAAATAATTTTGAAACATTTCTATCAAATAGGGTAGCATTTTGTATTAGACAATAGACAGTGATATGAAACTATGCAATTCATAAAGTGCCAGCAAAGAAATGATTGACAAAAATGTACAAGTTTACAAACTTTTGGCTTTAAACATAAAATTAATGTCTGTGAACAAAAGACAACAAAAAATAAAGTGGTTTTTGTGCTAAACTTGTTATATTTGATGTTTTTCTCCAACAGATATTGATGAATGTCGGAGTAACCCTTGCGTCAGAGGATCGTGTGTGAATGGAATAAATGCCTTCACTTGTAACTGCTTCGATGGGTTTTCTGGAGACAGGTGTCAGACAGGTAAGCTACTGACCACACCTTTCACATTACATCTTTTTTTTTATCATCCTCAACTGATATAAAGTCATTTACCCTCAGAGTCAGACAGTAGTAGTATTTGGAACATCTCTTTTTTTTAAAGGTGTGGTGGGTTCTTAAATGTGCGTGGGGTGTGGCTCTCCCCAAACGCGGGACCTCTATTTAACGTCCTATCCAAGTGAAGTCCCTAACAACATTCTTCAAGCAGCAGTCTTTTGGGGGCTGATACTGTCTTTGTGGCCACCAAAAGATCTTTGAGATTACCTGATGATAGCTAGGGACTTGACTTGTATATTATCACTGTCTTAAAGGTGCATATCAAAATATATTTCTTGGCTGTTAACTCTTGCATATAATAAACATCTGCTATTATGTTTTTTCCTGCAGACATTGATGAGTGTGAGAGTGATCCCTGTCAGAACAATGGAACATGTATGGATAGAGTCAACTCCTACAGGTGCCAGTGTGTGGATGGATGGGAGGGGGACACATGTCAGCAGGGTGAGATCTTTAATGTGTATATCAATACTTTACATTTGGAACTGCATACTCATGTATCTCACTTATTGTTACAGTAACTGTTATATATCTTTGTCAGAATTGCTAATATGTTTGGGACCACATCATTAGCAGTAACAACTAGCTTCAGTGCACAGTGAACCAGTAACACCTAGATTCAGTGCACAGTGAACCAGTGAACACCTAACTCCAGTGCACAGTGAACCAGTAACTCGCTTCAGTGCAGTAACTGTCCTAGCTTCTGAGTGCACAGTGAAACAGTCATATAATTGCCTTGATGAAGATGACAGACGGTCATCATCAAAACATGGGCTCTTTTGTAAAACAAGTGGTTGGGAAAAAAGAACGTTCACTTGCTATTCTGTCATTTACCAACCTGATGAAATTATTCTGGATATGGAGGAAGTAACGAACAATAGACATTACTAAATCTGAATTGAGTGTACATTATTCTAACTCTATCTTTTATTTCTCGCAGACATTAATGAGTGCTTGAGCAATCCATGTGACCAAAATGCTGACTGTGAGAACAGTCTAGGGTCCTTCAGCTGTGCTTGTAGGGAAGGATTTGAAGGAGATGGATTTGAATGCACAGGTAAATCAACTAAGTCAAAGTTCCTTCCCAAACCTACATGTACAATTATGTTGCATAGGGTAGCACCCATCTTCATTTCTGTAGCTCTGGGCAATACAGTTGTGCAACCACTATGGGGCTAGTGTACTGGTGGTGGTGTGTTTTTTTAATTACTAGTACTTAGTGACTGTAGTACTATATGTATGTTAGCTACCAATACCAATACAGATGGACTTAGTTATATATAACTGAATGTACAATATAATATCTTAAACTTATATGACTGCAAATCATTATGTTCTGCAATCACTTATAAAGTAGGGGCTAGTCCACTGGTAGTGGTGTGTTTTTACTTTGAAATTCTTAGTAACCGTACTACATGTATGTTAACTACCAGATTGAGTACAGATGGACTTTTAAGACCATGATTCTAGATGTGATGTTATAAAGCCTTATAACTTTCTTGGTGTTTCAGATGTAGATGAATGTGCCTCAGACCCATGCCAGAATGATGGGGAATGTGTGGACCAGGTTAACGGATACACCTGTTTCTGCACCAGTGGATGGCGGGGAACAAACTGTGAGGAAGGTCAGTTCCACACAAATATTGTTTCATCTCATACAGAAGTCTGGTGACTATAACATAGTATAGGTCTACATGAACTCAAAAAACTAATTATATAGACAAGACAGTGAGTCACATACTTAGACAACAAGCTGTTAGGGTGGGGGGCAGACTTGTGTATTTTAAAGCTATCTTTAAGTTACTACTTTGAATTTCCAAATTGTGATGCTAGCATATTCAGATCATGAGATATGAAAACCAGATGAGGTCCACTGCAGTACCAAGGAAATCTGCCAGGGGGTCCAAACTCTAATGATTTTTAGGCCTCATCCAGACCTACCCACCTAGTACCAAGTTTTATCTATCCAAAGCTACAAAATGTACTTGACTTATCATGCTAAACTACATACACACAAATGCAACCAAAAACATACTAACCTTCTTGGCAAAGGTAGTCATACATTTTGTATAATGTAATGTGCATGCAAGCATACAAACAGTTTTGATCAGTGAGTTCAGCAAGTTTGATCAGTGATTCCGTTTTCAGATATTGATGAGTGTAACATCATCACATCACGAAAATGCCACAGGAATGCAGCCTGCACCAACTCTGAGGGCAGCTACTCATGTGTGTGTAATGAAGGTTACTATGGCAATGGACTTACCCAAGAACAGCTTATTTGTAGAGGTAAGCTTGATCTTAATCTATTCTACATACTTGTTACTTAAAATCATTAAGTTACAGTACATTTAATCTCCATTCTTCAGAATTTACATGTAGGCAATTACTAGTATAATGGATAACATCAAAAACTGTTAAGAAACCATTGCCATTATTTCTTTTACACTTCATAGGTGGTGACAGCTGATAAAATACACTGACACATGCATGTAAACCCACTACATGGATGGGTGCAGGTTACAATGTATGTGAAGGTAGACACCAGAAGTACATTTTGTACCTGCACAGCTCTAATTTTAGTGGACTCACCTGCATATACTCTCAGGCTGGTACTACATGGATCAGTGCAGGTTAGGTGCAGGTAGAAATTCAGAACCTGCACAGCTCCAATTGTACCTGCACTAAGGTGCATATTTCAAGCCCTAAAATTCAACGTTAACTTAACTTTTTAATTAGTAACATTCTTATACTGTTTCAGAAACCATCCTGTTCCCATATGGCCAAGACCAAGGGGACTTTTGGCTGCCCAAGGCAGGAAGGCAGAAGGATGTTTCCTTAGAGTCCCTCCTAGAAGTGGACATCGGCTTCCCATTCTTTGGGGTCTTCTATTACAGTCTTTATGTGAGTTTTTTTTTCTGTTCAAGAATATCTAATATTTAGTATATAGACTATTTGTTTTGTACAATTGTAGTACTATGCTTTGTTATATGTGTCTATGATGTATTGTCTATGATGCATACTACGTGTTTGCATGTGTGTGGCCTTCCTAGAAAGCAGTACTTAGCCTCTTAGGGATCAACCACTCTGCTTCAAGAAAACAGAAATAAATAACACAGCATGCAAATGTCATCTTCTGCACTTATTACTAAATTATATGTATCAAGCACAATTTTATATCGGTTGGCAGGGATATACATTGTATATCAATGATATAACAATGCTGTATTACAGCATTGTTATTAAAGGCAGCAAAGAATTGCATAACCTACTGTTACACCATTTTCAAAGAACTTAATCATAATGATTTCCCATCCTAGCTGTCTGACAATGGGTTGATAGTGTTCCCACCGACACCACAAGCCCGAGCTACCAGGCCTCCCTACCCCAACCCCACCCGTTTCAGCAGTACAGCCACAGTACAGGCCGGAGCCCCTCCTATGGTCGCAGCCTTCTGGGCTGATGTGGACCTGACCAGCAATGTTGGGCAAGTCTTCTATCAGGTATGTTTAATCTGAAACAAGGGAAGTGGTCCTGATCCAGTTTTAATTAGCTCACTGAAGAGCTATCCTCCCACTGGTCGTGACAGGGAAGACAGACACTATGTACTGTATTTACAGGTTCATTGTACCAGTAGGACAGTACAAATGTATTTACAGGTTCATAGTACAAGTAGTAGTACTACTACTGTAGTAGTAGTAGTAGTACACTACTGTAGTAGTAGTAGTGGTAGTGGTAGTAGTAGTAATATTGTACCAGGGAAATTCTCCTAGCTCTTTTGGACATTGGCACAATGAACGGTGGATGACAGCTTAAACATCCTGTCCTAAGGACTCTAACCCTTTCCAGTAGCGCGTATATCGGGTGAGCAACAACAGCCGATATTCGAACTCCCAACCTCTTGTCCAGAGGACTATGCACAATACATCTTGTAGTCTACAACAGAACCTTTGATACAATAAATGATGTAAAAATGAATGTTATATGTATCATAATTAACATGTAGTATTAAATGTACATGTACTGAGCACTGAGCTAAACTGGTTTATGAAATGTTTAAAACTATGGTCGCATGTTGTGATTTTTAAGTTTTCCTCTACTGTATGCCAATTATTCCTTGCTGTGTCTTGCATTTTAGGTGTATTCTGACAGCCCTATTGGTGACTCAAGGAGAAGAAGAAGAAGAACTGTTGATGATGCCACGCAGGCTGTGTATGACCTGGTAACAGAGAGGGTGGACCAGTACTTTTCTGAAAACTTCCATGCCAGCTGGGTGCTGGTAGTGACTTGGGACCAAGTTCCTACAGTGGAGGCCAGGTATACCAAGCAAAATGTGAGTAGTGGTCTGTGTTTTTGTAATATGCTTTTCTTTGCATTCTGTATATAATAATGCATAATGTACAAATTGCTGTTGTCAACCCTTACTGTTCTCATGACGGAAGTAAACAATTGATTACTGAAACAAGTTTGAACTGTTATTTCTAGCACAAGAATTTTTGTGTACATTTTAAGGGCAAATTGATGCAGGTGTGCCAAATCATTTTGGTATTAGATACTTGTCTGTTAATGTGTGCACTTTTTCATTTGGATGGAAAAAAAGCTGCATTTCAGATGAAATTCATGATCACTTTTGGCACAGGGTTTGTCCTTGGTGCTGAAACGGACCTCTGGATGGCTTAGACCTAGACATGCAAACTTTGACTGTTTTAGTGCCAATCATAAACGTCCAGAAATGTGAAATTATAGCACAAATATGTTGACCAGTGGAAGCAAATGACAATCACATTGATGTTTTTTCTATTAATTTAGAAATATTTCAATTTATGGTGCAAAAATGTAACATATTGCCTCCTTAATGATCATTTTCAGCCCAACACCTTTCAAACCGTGCTGGCCACAGATGGAGAAGACTCCTTTGCTTTCTTCATCTACAAGGAAGATGAGATGTTGTGGACTGATGAACGTCAGAACATCGTCCTTGGATACAACAGCGCCAACGGGCAAAACTTTGACAACATCCTGCTTAACAACCCTTTCAGACCGGACCAAGTCAACGGGAACATAGGTTTGTTGATTTGTTGTAGAGTTCAGACTTTGTTCCAACACAAAAAACAAACTCAACATAAATTTTTGGACGGAATCTACCACTGTCCCGGTACAGGGGGGGTTATTAGTTGATGTATGTATGTAACTTGTACTGTATCATACAGTACAAGTTACATACATACATACTATGTAAATTTTATGTTGATTTGTTTATTTGGATTTTCCACAAAGTGAAAGGGAAGGCAAAACATACGCACCTTTACAAGTTGCCCTCCCCCATACAAAAAACACAACACCAAAATAAACAAAGTCAAAGCTAGCAATATATAAAATGGTTATATATGGTTATGATTATATATTCTAGGTTTGAAAGGACGCTGGGCCTACAAGCTCGGGAGCAACATGGTGAATAACAAGAAGCAGTGCCTGGACTGGTACCTTGCAGAGCCAGACCCATCCGTGTGGATTGTTGGAGAAGGGCAGTGCCCATGTACACTGTTACAGGCACTACTGGACCTGCGCTTCATACCTGTCAACTTGCCAATTTGGGTAGTCTTCCAACTGCTGCTGTTAAATCAAGGTCTGTAAGAGACAGTTTCCATTTCACTTTCACTTTCAAATTGCTTTTCTTTGCAGACATTCTAGGTTGGAATGACATTATGTAAGGCTAGCATGTCTCCCGATACATTCTAGTTCTTGACAATAAAGGACATAATATAATGCTACCCGTTATAAGTCATGTAGTGTTACCAGTACATCTGAAATTATCAGTAGTCATTGTGAACATTATGACTATGTCATTAATGCTTCCCAGAGGTTTGCCATCCCGAGATGTCTTGTTTTTTTTTTATTCACATACATTTATTGAGTATTAAGCAAGAAGCACAGAGTAAAACACAATTTCTTGTTACTTCTTTCTTTTGCCATTTCAGTGGTGCATGTACAGTGTTTAATGTGAAACCTTGTTGATTAAAACTCTGTTCTTGTTCCCTATATCTACAGACCTTGAGGTGTGCATCAGCCCCCTGTTTGCCAGCCCCACAGGCTCCAGTGTAGACTGTTGTTATCGCTTCCTTGCACTCAACACTGAAATACCACAGGCTGGCAACCACTACAGGTATCCAAGGTTCTCCCAAGAATACATTGGTGAGTTCTTTGACACTTACTTACTTGCTTATCTATATAGTTTGAGCTCCTGCTTTCAGAACCAATTTAGAAAGCCTCCTCCACATCACTATCCTACTTGTCTTAAAATGAATGTATTGATCAAGGCAATGAGCACACAATAGAAAAACTATGTGAATTGATCTCAAGTTGCTTTAAAAAGAGAGAAGAAATCTTCAAGATGAAGAAATAGAATGTATTCTCTAGTAGTTCCTAAAACTTTTACATTATTCTTATATCCTTCTATCCTATGTATCATGTTACTCAGTATCATATACATGTTACATTATACTGCAATGTAAGCATTTAGACCCATGGGCATGAACATGCAAAATAAAGATTGAATCAAATCAATTCAACAAGCTGAAAAATGTCAAATAAGAACTGTTTCTGTCCCTTTCTTTGCAGAATATGATGTTCAGCCTAAAGAATGGTGTTGTGATCCCTCTGAGGACAGCACTGAGGACAGCACCGACGATCGATTCTGCAGATTGTTCTATGAAAAGAGGCCCCCAAACAGCTGTGAAAACTACATTCCTCCAAGGATAGGTACTATGCAATGTTACAGATACTGTGTAACAATATTTAGCTGCTGCGGGTTTTCCTGGGTGCAATATGCAGTGCAGTGCAATCAGGATTAAGCTGAGGAAGGTGACAGACGGTCACCGAAATGTCAGCTGTGAATGAAACACTTGGTTGTTCAAAAAGAGTCTCTTAACTCAATAACTTAGCAACCTGATGAAACTATTCACGTATACCTATTCCCTATTCGCAGCAATCCTGTTTGGTGACCCCCACATGAAGACCTTAGACGGCATGGACTACACTTTCAATGGACTGGGAGAGTTCACACTGGTGGATGCCAGGACTGGATACTTCCTGCTGCAGGGGCGGACTGAGAAGGCCATCGGCACACAGGGCGATGCTGAGGCCACAGTCTTCACAGCATTCACATCAAAACAGGAGGGCTCCTCTATTGTAAGAGTTTGATTTGATTTATTGAAATGTAACAATACAATACATGTGGGACAAAGGCAGCTGTTGCTGGTGTTGTGTTACACACATAGAAACAAATACAGGACATTGAGTTAAGTGTGGAAAGTCCTGTAAAGTGCATTTCCCAAGGGCACAGAATCGGTGGCATGTCAGAACCTGGGACCTCTTGGTTCCGAGTCGAGCACTCTGCCGTTATGACCCCACACAGAGTTGACCAGCATTAAGTATGTGTTGATATTCATCTTTTTTCAGTCGTAAAGGTTAACATCATTTGGTAAATGCACAAGGTTGTGGACTTCCAGTTTTACTTTATTTCAGGTTGAAATGGGGATGAATGATGACAGGACGAACATGACTCTCATGGTGGATGGACAAGAGGTCGACATTGCCTTGGTTCAGAATGGTAAGTACTTGGCATTAGCCATTGTGTGTGTGTGTTTGTGTGGATACCGTTGAGTGTGTATGTGTGGATTTCAGCACTAAGGACGGGCATGTTAGTGTGTGTGTGTGCGTGTTGATAGTTTTCAGCACCAAGGACAGGTATGTTAGTGTGCATGTGTGTGTGTATGTGTGTGTGTGTGGATAGTGTTCAGCACCAAGGACAGGCATGTTAGTGTGTGTCAGTGTGTGTATAGTGTTCAGAACCAAAGAGAGGCATTGCTTTTTCAAGATAGCTCCTGACAGTTTTTGCTTTTGCTTTTTTTCCACAGGTAGCCAAAGCTTTGATAACGTGACTGTTCAGAACAACTTCAACTCCAACCAAACCAGCCTGATTGCTTCCTTCTCCTCTGGTATAACTGTGACAGTCACGCTGCAGAAACTCATGTTGATTGTCCAGTTTGGAGCACCAGATTCTTTCCGTAACACAACTCGAGGACTTCTTGGTATGTAAAATACACTGTTGGAAACTTCATTGCAGACTTTAGGCCACTCAAATTCAATCAATTAATGGATATGCCTGCATGCTTTATTAAAAAAGGGCAGGTTGGACTAAGAAAAAGAAGCTTAGACATCCAGGTAATGAGATACACAAGGAAATTGTTACTCAAGCAACTTGATAAGTTTTGAAAACTGTCAGAGGTTTCAAGTAGCATCCACTTTGGAATAAGCTACCTCGTGATTGCTTCCCCTATCAGTATAACCTTAAACTCTTCAAGTCTAAGGTCAACAAACTTCTGGCTGTTCTGTAACCCAAAACATTTTAAGTGGCTCCCATGAGCCTTGTTTTGTGGTGACCCGATGAAGCAAATGAAAAAAAAACAATCTACTTTTTGTCAGTGACTAACAGAATCTGTAGCTGGACAGGCTAGGTATTCATCCCAAAACTATGAATTGATACGTAAATGAGTCAAAGACAAGTTGGACTGTAGTTTCCTTTCCCAGGTGTTTGGAATGATGACTATCAGGATGACTTCACCTATCCAAACGGGACAGTACTGCAGGCACCAGAGGGCAGGAACCTAACAGAGGAGGAAGTATTTCCCTGGGGACTGTCCTGTAAGTCTGCTGCAAGCAAAATTATTCCAGCACATCGGATATGATGATACACATACGTCTTGTTGTTTTGAAATTATTGTATGTACAGTAATTTTATGCTAGCTGTAGGTCGATGTACCTGTAATCCTATGTCTTATAAACAGACTTGTTTCCTGACTTGGAAGACTAGCTGTCACTTAGTCATAGGCAGAGAGATTGACAAAGGAGAGGTTGAACTCCAATAAAATCCATCTCCAATCTGCTTTCTAGCAAACTATTTGTCTTACAAATCCACTGCCTAGCAATGCTTTCATGCCTATTGTAGCATCACAATGTTTAATAGACATACCCAATTTGGGTCAAAACTTATGCTAAATTTTCAGTAAAAGTAGCTGTGAAGATCAGTGTGTTAATTGTAACCATTAACTTTGGAGAACTGAATAAGCTTTTTTCTCTTCTAATCTCAGGGCAAATCAGTGCATCCACCAGTCTGTTCACCTACAAGGATGGGCAGAGTGCAGCGTCTTTTGCCAAACCTGACTTTGTGCCAAAATTCCTGAGCGAACTTTTAAGTGATGCATCTGAAGAAGTTAGGGCAAAGGCCCAATTTATCTGTGGCACAAACAAGGAGTGCCTCTTTGACTTCCTCAGTACTAATGACACAGAAGTTGGTGAACAAACCAAAGACAGTATCGAGACATTTGATTCTGATGCAGAGAAACTTGGTAGGTTGACAATTTGCCTCTGAACAGGTACATGGCATTGTGTCTAATATGAATTATTGAGGTTTGAAACAAAGGATTTCTAAGACTCAAAAGCATATCTATAGCAGCAGTTTTTAACTTAGTAGTGGATATAATAATTATACAATTAATAAAAGTGAATAATGTTGGTGTCACTTAGAATAAAATGCATGTAGTATACAAAAATTGTGACAATGTAACAAAAATGACTCCTTTTGATATAATTCTATTTTAATGTATAATGTTGTAATCTGTATACTGATAGATATTACGAATAGTGTATAAATCAAAAGCTACTCCAATTTTACAAAATTTCACTGTGGCTTCTCTTTGCCCTGCAGCCAACTTCCCACCCAACATAACCCTGAATGCCACAGTCTATGCAGTAGTAGGACAGGAGGTGCAGTTCCAGGTTATTGCTGTGGATCCTGAAGACAACCCTGTTAACTTCTCTATCGGAAACAGCTCTGCAATTCCAGGAGCTACCATCAACTCTGGTAGGTTTTCATGCTTTGTACAACTACAGCAAAATAACATTAGTTTACCATTATTGGTTGCATTTTAGAGTCTGGTGACAAATCTAACAAAAGATTTATGTTGATATTATATAATGTCATGTAGATGACCTCTGTTGCTTACGTATGCTGTATGACTTGTTAGTTTTCTCCCTTGTCATATGGATACAGAAATATTGCAATTCTAAAAAAATGCTGTCATGTAGTGCCACTAAAAAGGTGGATGCTTCAGTGAGTAATTGAGTGTGTATTTCATTACCTGGATGTCTAACCTTCATTGATGCATACTGCAGTGGATGGTGTGTTCAGTTGGACTCCCGACAGCACCGTACCCGTACAGCTAGAGATCGTTGCCAAAGATAGTCTTGATGCATCGACCTCCTCCTATCCCATGGTAAAACTGTGTGACTGTAAGAATGGTGGAACCTGTAACTTCGTCACAGTCAACATCACCGGAGAGATCACGCCTGTTGGACAATTTCAGGTACTGTGGGCAAAATTAAAACATTGGCTCAGTTAGTAATTCTTTTGTGGCTACAAGACAGCTGACATTGTACTATATTTAGTGCGATCTTTCAATCTTTGCACTTCATATATTTTCATAAAATCTATAAAACAACATTAAGCCATTACCTAAACATGTGATAAAGTGCCAACTATTCTAGCTTGCAATCTATTTTTTCATTCTTTGTAAGTTCGACAATTGAACTCACTGTCACAGATAAATATCACATTTGATAGACTTTGCAAGCACTCCAAATTCTCTAATATGCACCATTATGCAAGGAACAGTACATGGAAAAAGAAATAGGAGTAGGCAAACTAAGGAAAGATGGTAGAATAACATGGATCAGCATGACACTAACTAATGGTAAAAGGAACAGAAAACCAAGAAGGTTGGAGAAGACTGGTTGTCAGATCATCTGTGGTGCCCCAAAGGTTGAATAAAAAAAATTTATTATTACAGTGAGGGATAGATGAGATGAGATACCATGGTCATTTTTCCTGTCCTCTGTGTGTACCAGGTGGTTTCCTGCCAGTGTCCAGAAGCATACACAGGTGACTTCTGTGAAGAGGACAAGGATGCCTGCAAAACAGACCCGTGTTATCCAGGCGTCCTTTGTACAGATAACATAGCGCCTGAAGAGGGTTTCACCTGTGGGCCTTGTCCACAGGGTTTAAATGGCACTGGAGAGAAATGTTATGGTGAGCATTTGTTCTACCTCCAATTGCCTAGCCTCTACCAGGCTTCAGAAGCAGCTGGAAAGAGCAAAAATTAGCCAAATAACATGTTCTCCTTCAGTGGATTAACTTACTCCTCTGTTATATTTAACCAATTTCTACTCTTTCCAGCTCTTCCAGAGCCTGGTATAGGCTACCAATTGCACAAATGCATTTGGTAATTTAGATTTTATCCTTTTATGATTAAATAGTGATGATGATGATTAAATAGTACAGATAAAATGCCATGAAAGCTGGAGTGGCTAATACCTGTAAATATCCTTTATTGTTGCAGACATAAATGAGTGTGTTGAAGGCCAGTTGTGTGAACAACCAGATAACTGTGTAAACACCAGAGGGAGTTACACCTGTGCCTGTGACAGTGGTTACACCCTGGACAACAACAGGCTGAACTGTACTGGTAAATCTACATCTATTGCCCTGTTCAAGTCAGACATTTCAAGAAGGACTATCATGGTAAAATTCTGTTACAAAACAAAACAAAATCAAAGAAGGTTTCAGAAGTAAATGTAGAATTAAATGTTTACCTTTGCCAAGATTACATTGTATGATTTTGATGTTGTTTGTGTGTGTGTGTGTGTGTGTGTGTGTGTGTAGTATTCAGCACCAAGGACAGGCATGTTAGTGTGTGTGTGTGTGTGTGTGTGTGTGTGTGTGTGTGTGTGTGTGTGTGTGTGTGTGTGTGTGTGTGGCACAACAACTTTGAAATACAGTTGAGTTACACTAAGTTTTTTCTTTTCCATCCACTAGACATTGATGAATGTAGATCAGGTATTGCTGGATGTGCAGACACGGCAACTTGTACCAACAGCGAGGGTAGTTTCACCTGCACATGTAACACAGGCTATACTGGGAATGGAACACACTGTCAAGGTATTGCTTTATTGTCAAAGGGGGACTCAACATACAGCAGAGTAATGTTATTTTCATTTTCTATTTCTAAAAGATCACATTTCTATCAGTTTTGTTGAATTATCAACAGATTAACCTTAAGCCTTCTTTACTACTTTGACAGTAATTTTAGCAGTAACTATAGTTGATTTTGTCACAAAGACCTTGAGGAAATGTATTTCATTTCACAAATACATTGTGTATGGATGTGTATATTCAATGTGTTATTTAACCCTTACTTACAGATGTGGATGAATGTGCAACTAGTGAGGGAAACGCCTGTGATGTTAATGCAGTCTGTGAGAACACTCCTGGCTCTTACTCATGCACCTGCAACACTGGCTATGTGGGTGGTGGACGCACGTGTCTTGGTATGTCATATCACAATTTGGATGCACGTGTCTTGCATTAAAGGCAAGATAGGTTGCTGATTGGAAACAGTGCTATTAGAAAAAAGTTGTATTAAAGTAATGTATTTTTAACCTCCTTTCCCTTAAAAAGAGCTGAGGTTAGCATGAAAGTTTAGCTGAGTTTGTAAATAACAAATACAGATTAAACTGTTCTCCAACTAAAAAAAAATTGACAGGAAATTTTTATTGACTCCTTTGGTCTTCATCAGCTATCTAACACAAGAACTGTAGACACATGATTTTCCTGCATGTGTGACATCAGCAATTCAAAGTTCGGTCAGTACCTCTCCCCATCAGCTAAGGTTTTCATTTTCTGTTTCCATATTGCAGATCAGGATGAGTGTCTGGACCCACACATCTGCAGCCCCCAGGCCAGCTGTACAAACTCAGTAGGCTCCTACAGTTGTACCTGTGGCGATGGGTACAGGGGGAACGGCACAGTCTGTTCTAATATAGACGAGTGTGCAGAATTCTCAGACAGTCAGTGTAGTCCAGGGCTCGCCATCTGTACTGACACTCCTGGGTCCTACTCATGTCGGTGTAGGAACGGCTTTGTGGGAGATGGCATCAGTTGTGATGGTGAGTTTTAGAAGCGGTCTGTTCAAACTTAACAACATCTACATGTAACATAGCTAAGATTCATTGGTGAAAGTTCTGTTAAGCCCTACCTTATTGTAACACAATATTAGTCATTCAGATTTTGTTTCCATTCAATGCATGCTTTTTGTTTGATTTTGTTCGTGAAGACCACTAGATAGATAGAAAAATAGTCAGCGTATCTATTCACCAATATTTTACTAATTTCTTATTGCTCAGACTTGGATGAATGTTCAAGTGACGATTTGAACAACTGCACTGAGAATGCTGAGTGCGCTAACAGTGAGGGGTCCTACAGCTGTTTCTGTATGGATGGCTACCAAGGAGATGGTTTAGTCAGCTGTACTGGTAAATATGAATATGCAAAATACTGGTTAAAAGTGAATATGCAAAATACATCACTTCTTACAGTTTTTAGACATGTTTAATGTCTAATATCATTTCGTGCACTGTGCACTACCACGGTCTCAGGTTGCTGAAGAATAGGGGCTAACATTGTTACTGTAACTGTAGTAGTGGGCATCCTTCCATCTCAAGAGATGATGGTTTGTTAAGGTTATGGAAGAAGGAGTTTAACATCATGTGCACATTTGTTTATTTGTTCATTGTTTATTGTCATTTTGCACATAAAAAAGTAACAGTATAAAATGAAATTATATACAAGCAAATATATGCTGGAGAGCCCAAGAAACCTGAAGGTGTGTCTAGTGGACTCTCCCAAATCCTATTAATTTTACGATCTCTTATTTACATACATGTATTACATTTACATTTGACTTGCAATGTATTAAGGGACAAGCAAGCAAACATTTCTAATATTCGATTATTTGTAGATGTGGATGAATGTGCAAGCAACTTCAGCAGCTGTGCAGAAGATGCCACCTGTACCAACACCGTTGGATCATTTTTCTGTGCATGCAAAGATGGATTCACCGGCAATGGCTTAGCATGTCAAGGTAAGATACTTCATGTAAATGACTGGTTAAAGACTGATAAACTGGTGGACTTACCAACTACTGAGTACCTAACACCAGCTCAAAAAAGAACAAGAAATGGTCATGTCTTCAAGTACCAGAGTTATCAACAAAGGATTGAAGTGTTCAAAAACTATGATCGTAGAGTGGAACTTGCTGCCACCAAGTATATGTACACTAGGGCCGTCATTTACTAAGTAAATGCCTGTTCATGTAAAAGTGAGATAATGGTTGAGTAGTACTTTAAACAGTGTACAATGAATAATTAAAATGATTTTTTTCATACTTGGCTTTTTGTAGATTTGGATGAGTGCACCACTGGAGCCAATGACTGTGACGATGAAACAAAGGCCTACTGCACCAACCTGCCTGGAAGCTACAACTGTACATGCTTTAATGGATACACAGGGGACGGCACAAGCTGTACAGGTCAGTTAGAGGAAACTATTTTCTGAACTAGGAAGGTAACATTTGCAAAGCAAATGCAGAATGCTTACCTTCACATATGGTCTCAAACACATTCATATTATATGGTGACAGGAGTCTAAATCCCTCCTGCTATAAAATTGCAACATGATGTAACCCAACACTAGTTACCATGGTGACAGACGTCTGGTTCAGGTCATGGTTCTGGTTCTGCCCTGATGAAGGCAGCAAATATTTTTATTTCATTCATTTATTTTCCCACTAGATCAGACTCAGGTTAGATAAAAAATGGCTGACATGACTGAGAAAACTATGTTGAATTGACAATGCATGACATGTGCTTTTGCATCTGCAGATGTGAATGAGTGCACGATGAACAACAATGAATGTACCCAGAACTGTACCAACATGGAGGGAGGTTACACATGTTCGTGTCTGACAGGGTACAGGTTAGAGGCAGATGGATTCACCTGCCGTGGTAAGTACTGCTCTTTTGTATCAAATATCACTGTGTACTTTTTAAGTTTCATCTTATGTACAGCATGTATTACTGGACATCCTCATTTGACAGCTTTTTATGTATTGCCCAGAGTTAGGTGGCAGATGGTCACTGAAACATTGGCTTGGAAAAATCCTTTGGTGGTGAATGTATAATGTTGTCATACTGTAGTCTATCCTTCTCTTCCTTGGTAGTCCTTTCTTGTTCAAATGTGAATTACACACAGGGCTATGTAATTCTCCAGTTTGGGGTGTTTAAACGTGTTAGTTGACAGATTGTTGGAATATAAGGAAGAAATGTTTGAATCGGTTCTGTCCTTGGTGCTGAAATCAAGATAATTCTGTCAGTAACAACTTCCAATAGGGATACCTACAATCAATATGTTCATGTACAGAAATTATCTAAACATACATATATTATAGGAGATATAGGTCCTCCTGGACATCAAAGAATTTTTCTTAAGGTAGCAGCATCTGGCTTTTTGATCATGCATCGGTCCCTGAAACGGGTAGGCAGCAGTCGGCTATAAAACGGAATAACCTGTATGTAAAATGTACAACAACCATGAATGTGTCATGCAGACATTGATGAGTGTGCTGAACAGCTGGATGACTGTGAACAAACCTGCACCAACACTGAAGGAGGCTTCAACTGTTCCTGTGTGGCTGGGTTCATACAAGTTGGAGACTCTTGCCAAGGTAGGGATGGTGCCATGAATTTTTTTCTGAAACAGCTGAATTTTTTTCTGGAACAGCTTCATGAACTGCAGCTTACATGGTACATTACAAGGTTTGCCAAGTGATTTACTTCTAACTTATGTTGTTATGCCTATCACAGTGTTATGCCTATCACAGTACTCTATTATATTTTTCAGCAAATCAAAGTTGCACCAGTAACATCTGCATGAATGCAGAGTGCTATGTGGAGGGTGGAATTGAGAAGTGCCTGTGTTTTTCTGGCTATGAAGAGTTCAACTCCAGCAGCTGTGTTGGTAAGTCCTGACAAGACATCTGGATGAATACATGGTAGAATCCATAGTTGAAAAGTTTATTCTAAAGCAAAACAAAGAATCTGAATTTTCAGTTGAACTCCCAGTAACTGTTACAGTAGTTTTTCTTCCATTTGTGTATTTTTCTCACCCGCAACCTATCCCTGCAAAGTCCCGCTTGACTGTCCTTCTCCAAGTTATCCCTTGCCCTCCCCTTTTCATTTTTATCTGCTAGACACCAGTTCAGTGCCACCCTAGGAAGCCTTAGTATAGGCATTCTTACTACAAATGTACATGCCCCAAGCAACACAGTCCAACTCTTTGCACCAGTATGAGAGTTGGTCGCCCCAGTGACTGACTAGCCCATTGCTTACATGTTGTTTCAGACATCGATGAATGCTCCAATGAGACCCTGAATGCCTGTGATCAGGGGTGTAGCAACACAGAAGGAGGATATACCTGCAACTGTATCTCTGGTTACAACATCAACAGTGATGGTCGCAAATGTGATGGTGAGACAGTTACCCTTATAGAACCATTCTCTTCTTGAGGAAGACATACAACATGTATTAATTTTCTGTTTTTCCTAGAACTGTCATAGAGTGCACATGGAACTCACTAAAACCAAGTACAGTATGCTAAGCAGCCATTATCACTAGATAGCTTTAAGCAATGCTTAGAGTTAGATGTGTAAAGGTTAGATGTAACTGCTTGCCTGTGAAGCTGGTGTGTTATGCCGAGGGGCAGTTATACCGGCTATACACTGTCAGATACAGATACAGAAAATGCAATTGTCTCAACATGATTATGAAGCTTTAAATGCAGCAGCTGCCAATTGTTATAATCCCAAAATCTTCAGCCGTAATAATATAATCTTCCTAATTTGAGAACTGTAGAAATTCAAGTGTAACAGTGTCTAATTGATGATGTTTGACAGATATTGATGAGTGTGAATCAGCAGACCAGAATGACTGTGATCCTAACGCCCTCTGTGAGAACACCCCGGGAGGCTACAGCTGTCAGTGTCTGCAGGGTTACACAGGCAATGGCACAGTTTGCCAAGGTGATGTACATATAGAATACAACATGGGATATTCAGTATCGCCCGAGGTATCGGCCCGACCGCGGGTCGGATCGCGGGAGGGCTGGGACCGAGGGCGATGCGGAATACACCGTGATGTATTATTTTATTTATGTCATACCCACCCAAGAAAACATGCCTTTCAATGCAAGACGAGCCAAAAGTTAGTGCCACTAAACCCTAAAATGCAAAAGGGCACACGCGGTTAGGGTGAAACGCGTTCGAATCGTTTTATGGAAGCCATGGAAGCGTTCGATAACGGGTTCCCGTTATTGAACGTTATCGCGGCCCGGGTATGATATAAATTGTATCATTTACTTGTTACACATGTCTACTAGTCTCATTCATCAACCAGGTCAATGCACAAAGTAGATTGTATGACAAACAGTGAACCGTAAAAAACAGACTAATTCTAATATTCTGAAACAGCTTAATTTTTCTATTACTTATAGTATTAAGCAGATTGATCAAATGAATTGATGTCTGTGGATATAATAGAATATAATAGAAGGTAATTAATATGTACATGTATGTAGGTGACATACAGATGTCTCCAGGGACATGGCCAGTTCTGCTAGCCTGGTTAACAGACTCATTTTAGCTGCCTAGTCTCTTTTTCCCTCTCTGTAAATAGCAGCTAAATTAGGTTTGATAACCAGGCTGCAATTTTGTTGACTTACTTTTAACTTTGTCCAATATTTTTTGTTGTCATCTCCACAGATTATGATGAGTGCACCTTCGGCAGTCCAGTTCAGAACTGCAGTGAGCGTGCCGACTGTGTCAACTTTGTGGGAGGGTTCAACTGTTCCTGTATGGATGGTTATGTGGGAGACGGCTTCTTTTGTGTTGGTAAGTCTGCAGTACATAGAAGATTGTCAGTTGATTAGTTTTTTTTACACCAATAAGGTATTTTCACAATCAATGAGACCTCGAGTAACTTCATAACCTATATTTATAATCAATGAGAAACCTTTTTTGATATGACTAACCTTTTTGTTTATCATATCAGCCTTATTATTTGTACAGTGTATGTTAGAATTGTATTGTATGTAATTGTGCACTGTCTCTACTGTAGACGTGGATGAGTGTAGCACAGACACCTCCAGCTGTGATGACCAGGCCTCCTGTACCAACACTGAGGGCGGTTTTAACTGTTCCTGTCAGGAGGGGTACTCTGGCAATGGGACGTTTTGTCAAGGTATGAAGGATTGGAACTCAGTCACTTAGTACTCAAGCATTTCAAATTAAATGGTTTAAACCACTTGTTTTTGCTAAAATTATTACCTACTTGGCTTCAATTTTGAGTCTACATTTACATGACGGGTGGTTCATTTATAATGCAAGAATTAATGTAAAACTAAAAATTCACAACTACATGTAAACTTTGTGTCTTATGCTTTGTACTTTCTTCTTGCAGATCTGAATGAGTGTGATATTGGAACTGCTCAGTGTGATGGTAATGCTACATGTGTCAACCAAGCCGGTTCCTACCTATGTGCATGTAACAATGGGTATACTGGAACTGGGACTGAGTGTGCAGGTAAAAATTAAGTCTACATTTATGTATTTCAAGTATTATATGTCATGTACTGCATCCTTTTCAACACGGTCAGTTTCAAATGTTGAGTTGGGAGATATATTGTCTGCAACAGGTACAAAACTGATGCAACGTTGACCAAAACACCAACAAAACTCGTGAAAAATTCAGGTTAAATAAAAACAGTTTTGCACAGTACATTTTGACAATGTGCCAACCAATTGGATACTGTTGGTCCAACTAGTACATGTACATGTACTACATGTAGGTTCCTGACTGAATTCTGCCGTACTGTCTGTTTTTCAGATGTCGATGAGTGTGCCAGTGGTATAGCTGACTGCCATGAACAGGCCACATGCACAAACACAGAGGGTAGCTTCTACTGTACCTGTAATGATGGTTACTCTGCAAATGGGACAGCCTGTGAAGGTAGGTCAGATTGCCATTGTCAACTCAGAGACTGCATAGAAACTAATGTAATACAGTATCTTGTATTAACTTTGCAGTATTCATTAATTAATATATCATGAATGGCAAAGATGGACCTAATTTACACTGGGCAAAAAATAAGATCATTATAAGGTTTTTCACTTTCAGTCATGCTCTAGTACCCTTTGTATTGGCATCCAGGTTAGATAAAACATCCATATATTAGCAATTACTGTAGTTTTATTGGATGATGTTATTTTATGGAAGCGCAGCCAAGTTTCCAACTGTGTGTCAGAAATATAGAAGCAGAATTTCTTTCTGTCTGGAAGAGTTAGATGGATCAATTATTCTTCAAACCTCATTAATTTAAAGATAAATGTAATGCACTTAGTCTATGTGTATATTAAGGAAACATTTTATGATTCCTTTGCAGATATTAATGAATGTGACTTAGGAACCGACACCTGTAGCAAGAACTCTGTATGTGGGAACACAGTTGGTTCCTTCACCTGCCCGTGTGAGCAAGGCTACATCGGCAGTGGTTTCAGTTCTTGTGTTGATCTGGATGAGTGTACAGAAGAGTCAAGTGACTGTGACGTCAATGCTGAGTGTACAAACACTCCCGGGTCCTTCAACTGTAGCTGTAATTCAGGCTACACTGGAAATGGAACCTTCTGCACAGGTAATAATAAGTGCTTTGGTTAATGACCACAATTTAACATCTGTGTCCATAATATCACCAGGGTCCATAATATCGCCACCTTGAGAAATAGTGTGCTTGAAGATATTTGTACTGCAACATACCCTAGGTATGTACATTTGATGTGTGAATGAGTGCATAAACCTCAATATACCTCAATAAACCTCAATACCAAAAGTATGTTGCAGTAAAAATGTCTTTAAGCACACTGTTTCTCAAGGTGGCAATATTATGGACCCTGGTGATATTATGGACACAGATGTTACCACTGTGGAGATGTCTGGGCTGCACAAGTCTCAATTTTTTTTGCTGTGGCAATGACCAGTGTGTGCTCTGAAGTTTCAGGTAAATTCATTGATCCAAAGGGACATGCATGTAACCCTACAATGCAGACTAAAATAACAACTAGAGTAACACCATGTAAACTGTAGTAGCTTGGGTGCCATCCTCCATGGTTACTGCTCTCTCTATTTTCCCTATCTTACAGAGAAAAGAGAGAGGCCTGACACCCAAGTTACATGTAAAGTAACTCTTGCATTGTACTAAAAGTGTTGGGCATGTATATATGACAAGTGTGACATTTGTGAAGCTGATGTTGTTTGTTATGTAACAGATGTTGATGAGTGCACAGATGGCACACATACATGCAGTGCCAATGCAGACTGCAGCAACACCATCGGCTCCTACACCTGCACATGTCAGGATGGTTATACTGGTGACGGACAGACCTGTATTGGTAAGGAGACTTTTTTTGTCCATTGCTATTCTTTACAAAAGGAAAGACAACTACAACACTGTTATCCTACTAAAACCCACTTATTGCAGAAGGACATTTTGTCTTTTGATATGCTAAATGAGTCAAACCAAAAGAAGGTTAGATTGTATTACATGTAGGTAGCAGTTTTAATAGAAAAGCCACTTGTTCCACTTGTTACCATTGTAATTAAGCTTGCACTGTCTATACTTATGTTGCAAGTAGCCCTTGGACATGAACTTACAAATAAAGTATGATGGTGCAAAAAGTTAAATGCAACTGAAATAGCAAGCTGTGACTGGAAGTTTGAAATCTATGATTTCTTGTTTAACTTTAGTCTTATCCTTTGTATCCTGGTGCAGATGAGGATGAATGTGAGACATCACCATGTCATCTGTATGGAACCTGTGCAAACACACCTGGATCCTTCACATGCACATGTAATGCTGGCTTCAATGGCAATGGTATAGTCTGTGAAGGTAAGGGGCCGACTAACTCTCTCCCTCTATCAAGCAGGAAGAAATTGTTTGGGCATTGGCTACAATTTTTGATTAAAATAAGCAAACAGAGAAGCCATATCTTATTATTGTATTGAACAAGAAATGTTTGTGAATAAAGAACTTATTATATAACTATTCATTTGACAATCATTTATCAACCCTATTTATAAGTTTATTCAGCCTAAAGGAACAATTAACTGAGGCTAAACCGGATAGTGAGTCAAGTTGGGCCATTAACCCTACTTGTATTGCGTATTGTCCAGACTTGGATGAATGTGCAGACGGTAGATGTGATAGCATCCAGAACCAGGAATGTGTCAACACTCCTGGCAACTACTCCTGCACATGTGCCTATGGATACTACAGCAGCAACACTGGGGACTGTTTGAGTGAGTTCTTCTGTTGTTTTCACCTCGGTGTGCAGAGATTATTGTTACCTCCGTGAGTGGAGGTATTGTTTTGGGTGCATTTGTGTTAGTGTATGCATGTGACACTGTGTTTTTTCTTACATTGACCAGCAGAGAACAAAAAGCTATGGATGGATTAAGATTATCAATGATATTTAGTAGGCACATATTGGTTTTGGGAAGATGAAGGTCAACATTAACTTTTGGGCTTTCTGAGCCATAACATATGTCACTTAACTGGGCTTAGGTGTTCAGTCTTAGTACAGGGGATTCCACTTATTTGTATATCTTTTAGTTGTATATTTTGGGTAATTGTATAGAATTCTAAAACCCCAAACCATTTACCATTCACACCATTGTAAAAACAATGCATAATTGTATAGCGCATTATCGTATATTCGTAAGTTGCGGCATACGAGATCATGAGTGCGTTGTTTGTCTTTAAGTTAGTGTAAAAAGACAGTTGCCCCCCCCCCATTCAGGACGCCATTAGTGCTATTCCGGCCTATCGTATAGGCCGGGTAACTGTATAAAATGCGCTGACAAATGGGCTATACAAATATGCGGAATCCTCTGTATTGATTTTGACAAATCATGAAGTTAAAACCAAGGTTGGTACATATTGATATTGACAAGTCATAACATTAAAATGTGCAATGTGAATCTATTTCTACAGTGGCAGTTCAGTTCACGGGTTCTATCCCATTCACCACCATTGGAGGGGTGGCTGCCGCATACTCACCTGCCCTGGCTGACCCTCACTCCTCAGCCTTCAGTGACTATGCGTTAGCTGTACAAGAACCGGTAAGTCAGGAATGTAATGGCCAAATTTCAGTCAAACATTTTCTTATTTTGATGTGTTCATGCAGTTGAGAAACTAAAGAAGTTCCTTAGTTTACATGTTTCACTTCCCTTGTAAAGGTGACATTAGCTGATGCCGTTTGTTGTCAACTGTACAAGATAATGAATTCCATTCTCATAACAGGATTATGTTGTTGATCTGCATTGCTGCAGCTGTGCTTTGTATGATTAAATTGGTGTGCCCTTACCCTTAGCAAACCACTAGCACTGATATGTGACTGTCAGTAAGTGATCCATTACTGACAGTCTCATTTCAGTAACATTTCAGTAAAGCAGCTTACCTGTCACAACTGTAATGCAACTGACAAGTACAGATGCTTCCTAAGGATAATTCTGACTGATCTCTTACTGACAGTTTCTGTCTTGACAGTACTGACATGCTCTAGCAATTACTGAAATGGTACTGATTGGACAAATTTTACCCTTAAGGACTTAAAGAACTGACTCTCCTTCACCTTCCAGATGGACTCATTGTTCCAAAACAGTGCTGTATCTACCCACTACAAGTCAGTGGATATTGCTCAGTTCAGAAACATCTCTAGTGGTACAGGAGTTGTGGCTGATGTTGTCATCAACCTGGCAGAAAATGCACCGATAGACGAGACAAATCTGACCAGAGCGTTCCTGGACGGCCTGACATCTCGAGCTGTAGGTACTGAGAAGAACAGGCTGGGGGATAATGAATTGGTCACGGCAGACGTGGTGTTTGCAGAATTTGGTAAGATATGACTTCTCCTGTCACATATTAGTTATGGGTACAAAGGACTGCAACATTATTGTTTTGGAGGTAAAAAGCCTGGAAACAGCATCAATATTATCTTTTAGCAGATGTAGCATTTATAGTATAGTTATAACTCTTTGATGGGAAACTCTTTTATGGTTAATGAGCAACCGATAATTGGTGGTAAATGATTTAATTTTTTTAAAATCACAAATTGTTTATACAAACTAGAGCATGCTTTCCATAATAGAAAATCTATATCCAGGCAAAGGTATGGGGTTGCTGAACTCCAGACTCTTTCTTTATTTCAGCAAACTGTAGCAGAGCAAACCTTCTGTACACATGTAGCTGTGATGCTGGATATGGAGTGGTCGGGCTACACTGCGAAGGTTAGCATGTCAGGACGAGTAGAATTATCCCATTCAATTAAAGTCACAGCGAAGGTTCTCATCATCCACCCTTGGTGCTGAAGTGCCTTCCCTTAGTGTAATGTATAATATTAATCGTGTAAATTTACTCACATTCAAGTTTTCATCCCTCTCTGCTTTTATGATTTTGGCCAGCTGTATTTTTACCTTAAAATTTTTAGAAAACCAAGGAAAGAAATTGGCATGGCCTTAATTTGACTTCAGGTATATCTATGGTTAAACCATTGTATGATATTTCTTGAGGCTTGAAAAGTTAATGCAATTTTAGTATGATGTATTGTAACTTATCATGTAACATATATGAATAGTTATTATATGGTAGTTATCAATTATACAAGCATTGCTTAGTAAAGATTATCATTTGGTGTCTTTCTGCAGATGAGGATGAGTGTAGCAGCTCCCCCTGTGACCAGTTTGGGAACTGCAGTAACACAGCTGGGTCTTTCAGCTGCTCATGTAATGATGGCTGGAGTGGGAATGGTTTCAGCTGTGAAGGTAACAAATTTCATGGTTTAAGGATACATGGTTTTATAATTTCAACTGTATCACGTCAGTGTACAAGTGATCCAGCCTGTTTATTTATTAGTTTATAGTAGTTTGCAGTTGTGGTGTACAGATGGAAAATATTCATATTGCAAAACAAGCCCACAAAACTGTTTTGTTATCTCAAAACCATAATTTTTTTGTCCCTTTTGAAAGGCACAACAGAGGCAAAACAGTAACTGTTGTAAAGAAAGCAGCACTTTCTTGAGGTAGACAACTAACATGACCTGAACACATTGAATCCTATTACTCCTTATTGGCAAAAAGTAGTGGATGCTACTTGAAACGTCTGAAAGTTTTCAAAATATATCCAGTTGGTCGAGTAACGTTTTCCCTCCAAATTCCTTTACCTGTATGTCTAACCTTAATTGACATATATCATTGTTCTACTTTACTATTGTTCAGATGTTGATGAGTGTAGTCCCAACCAGTGTGGTGACATCCATGCTGATGTGGTGAACAGAGTGTGCAGAAACACCCCCGGCAGTTTTACCTGTAACTGCAGGCCAGGTCTCACTGATGTCAATGGAACATGCACAGGTATGTCTAAGGTTATTCGTGCAGATTGTTTGCCATATGTAGTAACATGCAGTCAATGCAGCAAATGAATATCCACTTACACCTATTTTACTAGACTAAGTACATATAAACCCAGTACAGTGCAGGTTAGGTCCACGCAGACATCAGAAATACCTGCTAAGCTTCAATTTTACCTGCACTAATCTCCCAGCATTGTAGGTGGTATGTTGAGCCCAGCAAATGTAGCTGAAATGATTTTTTATAGTCTTTGGCAGTTCAGTCTCAGGAGACCATCTCACACAGTACAAACAATCATTACCTTCGCCAAGAAGGTTATGTTTTCAGGGGCGTTCGTGTATGTGTGTGTGTGTGTGTGTGTGTGTGTGTGTGTCTGTAAACACGATAACTTGAGAAGGCCTTGATGGATTGTCTTGATACTTGGTAGGTGGGTAGGTCTTGATGAGACCTCAAAATGATTAGATTTTGGACCCCCTAGCGGCTTGTTATGGTACTGCAGCTGAACTTCCGGTTTTGATATGTCATGATCTAGACATGCTATGGTGATGAAATTTAGATGGTAGATAGCTCTTGTGCTGGGAAAAAAGTGACGTGAGTTTAGGCCCCCTAGCGGCTTGCTCTGGAACTGCAGGGATAAATTCTTGAAAATATTCAAAAGGGGATAACTCAAGAACCAGTTGATGGATCGTCGTGATTTTTGGTATGTAGGTAGCTTACATGATGCGTAATATAATTATGTGACAATTATGCAAATATGGATGTAATTTGCATAATTTATGGGGAAATTCTATAAATCAGCTGCATTCCATAATAGGACAATTGAAGCTTGTGACATTGGTAATTGACAACGAGAGAAACACAGGAAGATGTTGATTATGTTAATAATGACTTAATTTGCATAATTAATGAGAAAATTTTATAATTATGTAATGATAACTGCCTGGAATTTCATACTTGTGGTATTTGAAAGTTAAATTGAGGTGAACATCATTAAACATAATTTATTCAAATCAGGACCTCATTTGCATAATTTATTAGGAAATGCTAGAATGCATTGTTTGTTAATATAAGACTGTCTTTTGGTTGAGATTATGATAAAATGATATAATTCATAAAAATTAGGTTCCTATTTCTTAAATCAGGGGGGAATAATCTAATCTAAACTTTGTCAGTCATAAAGATTAACATCATTTGGCGAAGGTATGAGATCGGGGAACTCTAGTTATAACATAATCTTCATCAACATTTGTACCTTCCTTTTCCAGGTTCCAATGTTTACACTGGCCAAGTTTCCATAACATCAGCCACCTTCTCTTCAGACTTCAACAACCTGCAGCTGGCAACAACACAAGCCTTCATAGCTGAAGTGGTCATAGCTGTAAGTATTAGTAACCACATTCAGACATTTGAAAATAGCCCAAAAGTCACAAGTTATACAATCTTAAAGACTTGTAGTGTATGTGAGTAAATGAAGTTCTGTAGGCATACATGAATGTCTACCCCCTCCGTAACAAATTTCAGATCATTTGGTTTTAATACCTGGGCTCCAGAGCCCAAAATATAGTACATTTTTTTCCTGAAAATTGCCAAAATCAACGCCAGAGGTCCACTCTACCCTGAGTGAAGCCTCTGCCAAATTTCCAGTCATTTGACCCAAAATAACCAACTGTAAAAATTGTAATTCATTCAAGTATGTTTTGATGGATATTTCATTGTTGTTTTCCTGGCAGATCAACTCCATTTTCCGGCGTAGCAGCCTTGCGAGTGTCTATCTGACCTCAGTTATCACTGCCCTGAGAAATGGGAGTGTGGAGGCACAGTTTGACACAGCTCTCCAGGCAGGCACTGCAGCAGTGGAGTCTGAAGTAGAGGCAGCATTCAAAGAAGGGTTGAATAATATCAGTTCTGCCAGCATTGTCAACGGACTCACTTTTAATGGTTCATCAGCCACTTTCTCAGGTACCTCGATTAGAATTGAAAAATGCATTTGTAATGATTTCAATATCATCAATTTTGTCTAGTAAAAATAGAACCATTGCCACCTGGTCCATGGATTGTCAACCTCATTATCTTAAATTACCTGACTGTATTATCATCATCATTTATATTTTCTTCCAGTGTAGTATATTATTACTTAATATGCGGTACATATAAGTCTCCTAGTCTCAGGTGTCTAGTCTACTGTGATTAAATTTGCACTCATCTCTGCCCGACTCAAGCAGGGTCTCTGGTAGGTTTTGCATGACTAATATCAAACTCCAGCCATGCAAAACTCCTATGTATAGGTTCAAAACTCCCACTGGGTGGCCATTGAAGCTGGGTGGGGGGAAACTACCACAGTTAGAACTTAAGCAACATCTCCAAAGAGAGCCCACACCAACCGCAATAGACTGTATACCAGGCTATATGTCTAGTCTCCTATATTTTGCCATATTCTCTAAGTTAACTGTTGCAATCTGTTCCTCCTTTCTCAGATGTTAATGAGTGCCTATCTGCTGAGGATAATGACTGCTCGCTCAATGCTAACTGCACCAACTCAGCAGGCTCCTTCAGCTGTGTGTGTAAAACTGGTTACCTGGACACCAACACCAACAACCCTGGCAGGACTTGTGTTGGTAGGTTAAAGTCCTTTCCACAACCATACATGGTACATATGGCGGCACCCATCACCGTTTCCGTAGCCCTTGAGCCATACAGTTGTTCAATTATTACAGCAGGGTGCTAGTCTGATTGAAAATGAACCTACATGTACTTAGTGGTACAACATGATGAAATGACTAAACAAACTTGTACCGCATAATCTTTCTTAATCAACAACGTTAAACTGGGGAGCAATTTAACGTTGTTGATTAAGAAAGATTATGCGGTACAAGTTTGTTTAGTTGCACAGGAGATACAAATGTATATATTACAATGTAGTACCAAAAAATGTAGTTCTGGAGTTGCAAGGTTTTAATTCCTCTTATTGTGTGTAACAATGCTTTTTTTGCTTTTCTACATACAGACTCCTGTGAATCTGATCCCTGTCAGAATGGTGGCACATGTGAGCTGCTCCTGAGCCTGAGTTATCGCTGCAAGTAAGAATTCAAAATAATTTGTATGCAATTGTGTATTTTTGGGTGGCTAAAGCCTTCTGCAACATGTCACATCAGAGTTGATATTTCTTCAGATTGTTGCAAGGAGCATGATTAAATGTTGATCTCACCCTTTTTCCTACAGTACAGTGCTGTAAGGTTTTTATTTTCTTGTGATTTATCTTTGTTTTTCTTCAGTTGTCCACCCGGCTATTCTGGTGTTAACTGTGAGGGTGAGATTACAACAGGTTAGTTTTGCTTGGTTTATTTCATTCATTTCAATTCATTGACAATCACTGATCATAACTTTTTTTGTAAATAAGGCTTTTCTGCCAAATAATATATATTAAACAACTGAGCAATGCACTGCTTTTGGGTAAAATGCATCTGCATGTTATGATTCAACAAAACCCCAATTTCTCTTTGCTTTGGAACAATTAAGAAATTTTAAATACTTTTCCTCAAATGTTTCCAATGTTTTCCCCTCAGCAACATCAGACAGCTATCGGCTGCTGACCATAATCCTAGGCAGTGTGGCAGGTGGGCTGTTTGTGATTGTTGTAGCCGTCACTGTTGCTTACTACATCAAGAGGAGACAAGTACAAGCAAAGACATTCTACAGGTAAGCTGTTACTTACTTATACTTTTCATCCCTTGCGAGACGTAAGGCCATGATTTTTTCCTTCCACCTTGGCAACCTTCTTTACTGGTTGCCAGGATAATCCCATGGACATCCGACACAGTTCTTTTCCAAGTGGTTTAAGGTCTACCTCTTCCCAACAGGTCTCCAATTTAAGGCTATTTAGATATTCTTGAGTACAGTTAGCTTACTAACTTTACTTACTTAGTTTGAGCTCCTGCTTGACCCAATCTAGAAGTTCTTCTCCATGTCACCATTAGTTCTGAGTACAGTTAAGAATGATACTGATGACTTTCATGAATATTTATGTTTGAATATCATCCTGACCTCCAGGGAGCCCATAGGTTTCCGTGAGCCTCGTGGGCTGCGCTACCTCCCCACCACGTACCTGGGCAGGGCTCCGGACATGGAGTGGGACCCACTCTGGCATGATGGGTAAGGGAAGAGCGGGTTGGATGGATCATTTTACTTTCAAAAGACTTTTGGATGATGTCTGTCTGAACAAATGATCAAGGTTGATATTTCTGGTAACTACAGTCAACTCTGGATTATGTTCAGATTATTTTGTGCTTTTTTTAGGTCGACCTCTGACCTCTCCTATTGATTTGAACTTACCTTATTATTTTGTAATCATCATTATGTACAAAGTTTTGTTATCTATGTTTTATTTTATTGACCCCAGGAAGAATAGTGCTTTTAAGCACTAATGGGGATTGAAATAAACAAACAAACAAACAAACAAACAAACCTAACCATGTTTTCACCATGATTTCTTGTTATTTATCATGGAAAATTGATGTTGCCGTACAAGTAAAAGTAAGGCGGTCGGCATGGGCGTTGGCCAGGTGGACACCCAAGGCAGGTTGTTTTATGCTTGTGTCTCCGTGTACATGGAAAATGTTTGGCACCGAGAAAAAGCAATTGCCGAGGCCAGGCTGTTGGCTTGAAGTGGTGGTTGCCTGGGTAGGTGTGACTGTACTCAGACTGATATTTCCATGTGACATCAGTGGTTTGTTTTCTCCCCCAGTGCTAGCCCATCTGGAGAGAGTCAGATGGAGGAGAGGAGAAGAGAGGCTGAGGAGCAGAGGATGGTTCATCTGGTCGAGGTGCTGAAGAGAACACCTAATCTGGTCAGGAACTGGTTTTGTTTTACTAATTCCCTAAACACATTTCTTATACAAACTAGTGTTTGCTATAAAAATTGAACAACCATAACTGTGTTTCCCTGTCCCTGGTGCTGACTGTGTTTCCCTGTCCCTGGTGCTGACTGCATTTCCCTGTCCTTGATGCTGACTGTGTTTCCCTGTCCTTGGTGCTGACTACGTTTCCCTGTCCTTGGTGCTGACTGTGTTTCCCTGTTCTTGGTGCTGACTGTGTTTCCCTGTTCTTGGTGCGGACTGTGTTTCCCTGTCCTTGGTGCTGACTGTGTTTCCCTGTCCCTGGTGCTGACTGTGTTTCCCTGTCCCTGACTGTGTTTCCCTGTCCTTGGTGCTGACTATGTTTCCCTGTCCTTGGTGCTGACTGCATTTCCCTGTCCTTGGTCCTGACTGTGTTTCCCTGTCCTTGGTACTGACTATGTTTCTCTGTCCTTGGTGCTGACTGTGTTTCCCTGTCCTTGGTGCTGACTGTGTTTCCCTGTCCTTGGTGCTGACTGTGTTTCCCTGTCCTTGGTGCTGACTGTGTTTCCCTGTTCCCGGTGCTGACAGTTCTTATGTGCACAGGCTAGTGATAGTTCATTCCCAGTTCATGCCCCTCCCTACTATCCGCTGTGCCCCAAAATCCACTAGCCGCATTGAAGGGGCATGAGTTGGGGACCTGCTGTCAGTCGTCTGCCTGCGTAAGCTCTCTGCTGACTGCCTCAAAAGTTTTGTTTCCTAGGGTACTGTACCGTACCTCCACAATTTTGTATGGTGTATCATACGAAATCCAAATGTCATCCTTAAAAATGTGATCTTAGTGGCTGGATACTGATGAATTTGTCTGTTTTATACATGTAGACTATCCAGAGAGCCCATATTCCCGACACCCATGGACGTCCCGGTCCGGCCAACCCTGTGTACCAGGTGACCAGACCGGAGGGTGCTCACAACCCACAGGTAAAACACAGAACAATCATGGGCTAAAAGACTTAGGCTAGCCCTTATCATATAAGTAATTAGGATATCAAGTTTTACCCTACACTGTTTTGTCCAAGGCTATCACTTGAGATCTTTCTTTGCAATCAGGTAAAGATTCATGTACAGATACAGATCTGTTTTGTACTACATGTATGTTCAACAGTTGTTGCCAAAATAGGCATACGTTTTACCATGTACAAATATCATGCAATAAAGTTCTTCTGTATCCATGCAGGTGCATCTAAGGACCCGGATGGTTGGACTTCCTGCAGAGAAGGCTGCTATTATGGGATATGACTCTCCAACCACAACTGGGGTGAGGCTCTAGATCAGTATTGCGTTAGAAGGGAAGTTCTATAAAGAACCTATCATTTACTTCAGAATCCAGGTATGGTAGGAAGCTGACATAATGATACATATAGGCAGAAATTTCTACTTGCATAAGGCACCCTGTATTGTACATCTGTAAGTACAGAGGCTGGTGGAAAACCTTTAAAAATCCCTGTGTGGATTTAAATAGTACCACAGTGTGGTGTAAGATTATCCAACATGATTGATGTAAGTGAGAGCAGTGAAAATTCTCTTAGGCTGAACAAGGACATTATACAGAGATTGTCTGGGTTTGTTTTATTGAATACAATAAGAATGGAATTGTTTAAAGGTTTTAGTAATAGCTAAATTAGAAATTCAAACAAGTGTAATAAATATTACTAGTACTCAAGAGTGCTTATACTAAATAATTGATTTCATTTGTTTTGTTCCAGAGCTCCAGTTCCTGGGGTTACCACCCCTCCATCCCAAACCTGCAGTCTCTGTCTGACAGCATCAAGAGGAAACCTCCCAGACACAGGCCCAGGGAGAGAGACATGTCTGTCAAAAGAGATGAGAGTGGCAGGTCACAGGTATGTATACTGTAGCCTGGTTACCAAACCTATTATAGCTCCCGAGTCCTACATCCTCTCTGCAAATAGCTATTTGCTAGCCTGGTTACCAAACCTATTATAGCTCCCGAGTCCTACATCCTCTCTGCAAATAGCTATTTGCTAGCCTGGTTACCAAACCTATTATAGCTCCTGAGTCCTACATCCTCTCTGCAAATAGCTATTTGCTAGCCTGGTTACCAAACCTATTATAGCTCCTGAGAGCTACATCCTCTCTGCAAATAGCTATTTGCTAGCCTGGTTACCAAACCTATTATAGCTCCCGAGTCCTACATTCTCTATTTGCAGAGAGGATGTAGGACTCGGGATGTATACCAGGCTATGTATACTGTGTTCTGATATCTTCTAATGCTGAAATATCCATTGTAGAATGAAAGTCTTTATTGCTCAATCAAGCACATTGCAGTCACAGGCGGAATTGCATATTTATTTTATAATGGTACTAAAACTGTTTACTACTTGTTTATCAGACAAATAAACATACTTAAAACATCTGATTATTAAAACAGGTCAGCCTAGGTTCATAGTGTATGTACGCATCTAAATTAGCAGCATTTGGCTTACATATGGAGCCATTTTGAAGTTTGTTAGTGTTGTTACTTGGGGTATGGAAGTTTGTGTTTGTGTTCATGGCTCTGGGACAAATAATTGTCACAATATTCATATGATCATGTGATAATGTCAGAAAATCTTTTGACTTTTGAAATCTCTTATTAAAGTGCTCTTTTTCCACCACAGGAGGTCATATACAACTTTAAGACTGCCCTGTGAAGACATGACAACAACTCAGGGACTGCAGAACACATAGAGTGCACACGTTATACATCCTGAATGATTCTGCAGTCTTTTACATATTATATTGTTTAAAATTGATTAGTATATATACATGGGGTATAGTTAAGTGCAATATTGTACAATCATACTAAAAAGGCAGACATTTGCTTAAGAGTAAATACAACACCCTGTATCCTCATACAGTCCATTTTTGCATTGGGGGGGGGAGATGGAGTGAAATACATTGTATTTGCTGGCGAGCAAATGTCAAACTTTCTAGTGTTTGTGAATATTTCCTGACACTATATTCATCTATAGTCATGACAGACATCCGATATAATACATGTATATACAATAGACAATGGTAGATATTTTACTGATACATATCATTATAAGTAGATATTGTAATTCATCACATTGCCATCTCCTTGGTGTTCTCATATCATTTGTTTATAGTCTTAAGGTTCAAATTGCATGTATCATTTGTTAACATTGTTTTTCTATATGTATGTTTATATCCTCTATATTGTATGAAGCATGTACCATGTGGTACATGTAATGAATTAAGTTTGTACAAGCCATGATTTTTTTTCTATTTGATAAGCAGTTGGTTAAGTTAAACATGTTTACTTTGTGCATTGTGAAGATATATAGATTCTTTATCAATAGTCAAGGGCCTGGTGTCATATATGACTTTGATAAAATCTAAGGAAGAGGAAAGGTGTAGTTGATTTATTTGTTAGGTCAATGAATGTAATATATTTAAGACATATAATTTATAACCGGAATAATGAATATTATATATAAATTGTTAATCATGGACACTTAATATATTTCTGAATATTGCATATTGTACAAAAATAAACTTTGCTATCATTGTTGAAAGCATACTTTTATCATTTAAGGCTAGTGCTATTCATTTATACATTCAAACTGCCTGGCAAGTTTTACCGCCAAAGCTCTGGAACTTACGGATATACAAACAGTGGACAGTAAAGCTTGAAAGCAAGACGGAGAAAAGAGATATCTCAACTCACACCCGGTCTTAAGCCCGCTGGCGCCACTGCAAATGGCAGTACAATCTCCCGTTCCAGTTTAAAGACAAGAAAAGTATGGGCACTGACATATCTTGATTGAATTACTATGTCGTCAACTTGAGCCATGAGCTACATAAAACCGCAGGATTCTCCTATCACTCGTCTTTATTTTGAACGTTAAATGGGGAAAGGATGGAGTGCAGGTATTCAAAGCGAGTCAATATTCAAAAGCCCAGACCTATCATAAAACCAAGGAGGCAGAATAGAATAAAACAGAATAGAATAGAATATAGAATAGTATAGAATATTGAATAGAATAGAATAGAGGAGGCCATAGAATAAAAGCCAAGAGGCCAGGATGAAATATCCGGGACAGTCAGCACTCGCCCTTCATATAAGACTAGTATAAACGGGGATATAGAAATAATGACATGGCAATGTAGAATGTTTCGAATGGTAACGTTATATATTTGCTGTAAATCTCTGAACACAAGTTTTGACTCGAGGTGTCCAAGCATCTCGTCCTTGGCATTTCGAAAATAACGTTGCGAATGTAGAAACAGCCACTGTGAGGATTATTCTGAAAGCTGTAGTCTACAAAACCTATACATCATGACTAATGCTGGCATACCTACAATGGGACCAGCTCTACCATACTATATCCTCTCGACGTATAATGGTAAAGATGATGGTCTTATTGCAACACTCTGGGGACTATTGACCTGTAGGGGGGCTATACAAGCTCTAGGAGTCCGTCTTATCACGATTACTCAGTAGCTGTACAAAGCCTCTATGGACTCAAATCGTCTCTTCGGAAGTGTACATGCGTCATGGATCGGTTACCGACCGTAAGACTATGCTTCGCTATCGACCATATTTCTAGAGAAGTTGCATTTGCTGCAGCCCCATGAGCGTAAACTTATCAACATAACTAGCGTATATGTCGCCAGTTGCTAAGTTAAACCTAAAATAGACGACATATAACGTATAAATTATGTGATGCACAAGTTTTGACTCTTGGTTTCCAAGCTACATTGTCCTTGGCATTTCGAAAATAACGATGCGAATGTTGAAACAGCCGTTGTTAGGATTATTCTAAAAGCTGTAGTCTACAAGGCTTATTCATAATGACTGATGCTGACGTAGCTACAATGGACCGGCACTATAATAGTATTATAGTATATTCTCTCGACTTGCAATTGTAGAAATGATGGTCTTATTGCAATATCCGTGCAGCACTGTAGGGACTAGTGACCAGTGGGAGGGCTATACAAGTTCTAGGAGTCTGTCTTATCACGACTACTCAGTAGCTGTACAAAGCCTCTATGGACTCAAAAGGCCTCTTCGGTAGTGTATATGCGTCATGGATCGGTTACCGTCAGTAAGCCTAGTACATGTATAGCCTTGACCGTACTTCAAGAGAAGTACTGATTGAGTGAAGTTGCATTTGCTGCTGAAGTTGCATTTGCTGAGCGTATATCTTATCATCGCGGCTAGTGTTTCATCGGTAAAGTTTGCCCACCTAAAATAGACGACGTAGATATATTACTTGTACAATGTATAAAAGTATGTGATGCAGTTCATAATGTTAACTACCTATAAAATGCAACAGTATTTTTTTCAATCTTTCTCATCTGCAGACCTCCTCAAGATGCAAGGTGACCTCATTGGAAGTCGCATTGTTGCGCACTTAATTGAAATCAATTTACAATTACAGTGGTACTTGGCAAACTCTTCATTATAGCAGCTTCTTGGTGTATTCGATTGGTATATACGGAAAAAAATAAGCCCCCCAATGCATTAAGTTATCCATTGAAGTTTGACACCTAACAGGAAGAAGAATGTTCGGGGGTTTTGCAACGTCAGCTTGTTACCTGATAGGTATCACATGTACGTGCTGTTCAATACTTGTTGATCGTTATACACAAGAGGACGCAGAAATTGAACCAGAATCCCTGGATGGGACCTGATCAATTCCTGTTGATGTAGTGAATGACCGGACTCACTCTGGATCAATATCACCACCTGAATCTATCGTTAACATCGTACAGGGCCCCTGTCACACATTCAGAACCTTCCCTCCGAACACCAGCCGACCAAGGTTGCTGAAGCCCCTGTCACACATTCAGAACCTTCCCCCGAACACCAGCCGACCAAGGTTGGTTGAAGCCCCCGTCACACATTCAGAACACCAGCCGACCAAGGTTGGCTGAAAGCCCCTGCCACACATTCAGAACCTTCCCCCGAACACCATCCGACCAAGGTTGGCTGGTACCCGTTCCTTGCAAAACATGAAGCTTAAGCGTGTACCACGCTTAAACATATCTTGGTCCCTTTTTGCATTCCATCTGGAACTTTTCAATGGCCTTCTTAACATCTGGTAAATTCTTGTTTTTTTTCTCTGTTAATCTGTTAATGTTAATATGAAGACCTTTATTGTACACAACAAAGGAATAGCTTGTATATACAAGTATACATACACATGATCAAGCTAGCACTGGCGCTATCTATAGTCTACTATCAAGGAAATTCGACAACTCCTTGCGTCTCTGTGATTAATGATTCCTTGTTTTCTAGGACAAATATTAGTTTAGTCGGGCTCATTAATAACCAACGCAGCGGTCCTTCCGAATTTGAAGGAAATGAGATCAATGTTATGAAATTATCTTCTCCATCAGTCTGTTGGTAACATATTACGCTTAAGAGCCGTACAATAGCAGAGAAAACTAGAATAATTGGACTGGCGGAGGAGGTGGTCCTTTTTAATCATCTGCTCCGGTACCATTAATAACGACAAATTGGCTACAAAAATCGGAGCTATTGTATAATTGTAGCCCCGAACATGGGTGCATCGTACTTGCACCTGCACCATCCTACGATACGAATCAAGCAACCGTTTTCGGTTCGAATCAAGCAACGGTTTCAAGCATCACATTTTGCCTCACATTCACCGTACATGGTATGGGATAAGGTTGATTCAACCTGCCTCATTCTTTGAAAAAATGAGCAGAAAATTGACTACTAAAACCCAGTTATACTGCCCTGAAATCGCTTTGGATGCCTTTATAGTCTACCACGTTTGTTCTAGTTGCTGACTATCTGGGGCAAATATAAATCATCATTCACATTTGTCAGTCGTAGGGCACGTTCCTGAGGAGCGGAATTATGTCTGGTTATAACATGACCCCTGCAAGGCGCCAACATACAGCCATTTTGGCTTCACATTGATTAATATCAGCCCGCCTGTAAATAATTCGTGATGAAGAACTGCGCGCCGGAAATTAGCCTGATCTAGTTAGGATTGTTCAGAACCGGGCACCGAAGAGAGCTAGGGGATCAGAGCTTTATGTGAATAACAATGTCGACGTCAGATAAATGTGTGAAAATCAACTCCAGTTTCCTTACAATGCTCTACAGATGATTGATAATCTCTTCTGTTGCTTTCGTAGTAATCCTGCCATTCAAAATGAACGTCAGAGAATAAACTGACAACCACACCTACGTAGCTACAAGCTTTGAGCTGCTGCAATCTCATAGATGTGACAGAATCCACTCTAGTTTCCTTACAGACAGCTACTACTTTCTTAGTAATTCTGCCATTTAAAATGAACGTCAGGGAATCTACCACCAGTCACGCATACGCCATTGACGGCTTTGAGGTGCTGCAAAGGTCCCTGATCTTACATATTCAAAACAATCAGATAGATGTGACAGAATCTACTCTAGTTTCCTTACAATTCTCTACAGACAGCTACTACTTTCTTAGTAATTCTGCCATTTAGAATGAACGTCAGGGAATCTACCACCAGCCACGCATACACCATTGACGGCTTTGAGGTGCTGCAAAGGTCCCTGATCTTATATATTCAAAACAATCAGATAGATGTTACAGAATTTACTCTAGTTTCCTTATAATTCCGTGCAGATAGTTACTACTTTCTTGGTAATTCTGCCATTTAAAATCAACGTCAGGGAATAAACTGACAGCCACGCCTACGCAACTACAAGCTTTGAGCTGCCGCAAAGGTCCCTGATCTTCCACATCCCAAACAAACGCCAAACAAACGCGATAAGAGCGGTAGGCTAATCTAGATTAGAGCAGACTGCTGCCGCCCGCGGCCACAATACCTCCACAGTAGCGGAACGTTCCGCCTATGTACCAGGCAGTACGCTATGAATCATGTAAACGTCGTTTCGCCCGGTGGACTCATAATTCTGTAGGGTTCATCACACAGCTATCGCAGGTAGGACGTCTAGATATATGAAAAATGAACGATCAGACGATTCCATTTACCACGAGTGGCACTGGATATAGAAGCTGCATATCACACTTAAGAAACGATTATGTAGAGCATGTTGTCATACATACAACAGTAAGACTGTATAATACATCGTCCTCACCCCTGTGTACAGAATGGCATCCCCTCACATGGCCCTGAGGTGGATTGAAAATCAATCAGCTAGTACGACTTGGAAATCACGGTAATAAATAGTCAGGAGCCCTGGGTGGATCGACAGTCTCTCGGACCGGGCGCGAGTACCTGCACACACGGCCTGAAACAATTCCACTGCGAGGATGTGAGAGCGACTCGGCAGAACGTCAGCGGCCCCCAGCTAGTCAGCTGGCCATTCCAACCTGCCGTTCCTTCTCTGCACCTGCCATAGGAACCTGATCAAACCGATCGTAAGGTAAGAAACCTCTTTAATCATCACAGAAACGGATGTGAGTTGGTAGCTTGTGTATTCAGGTGCTTCCATGAACTAACAAGAAGAGAATCGTGACTATTAATGATCATTATTCTTTCATTCTTTCAAATTGCTGGTGATGTTGTGGCACGACATTGTACACAACAATGTGGAATATAGAGGTCCCATACTGGTGATGATTTCAATGAATGTTTTTGCTTATAACACAACCGTATTTTATATTGATTTGGGGCAGTGCGTGTGACATGAAGGATTGGTATTCGAATAGCGACTGTTTGCTCAATTTACCGGAAATTCCTCGTCCTAATTCGCCCTGATGGACAGGTAACAAATTGAATTTTACAGACCATGGGAGTGTGACTTGTCCACGAAATGAAACAAACAGCTCTTGTCATAAGCAAGGTGGGGTATACTAGATGTCCAGTTACCTGTTATATACAGATATAGCTTGTATATTTTACTAAGACGAAATGAGAAACGTGCAGCCTATATATTCCACATTGCCGTTTAGATTGTCGTGCTACAACATCACCAACAATTCGGGCAATGGATGAAGGAATAATGATCATGAATAGTCACGGCTCTCATCTTGTTAGTTCATGGAAGTACCTTAATGGTGCACCTGTCTGTGGCGTTCATGTAAAACCTTTGCTGACTTCAGATAAGACATAAACTGGTGCTTTATTGCGACTAGCTCGATCAATGTTTGAGATTGCAGCGGAATGCAAATAAATCACTGGATTATGTTATTACGTATCTATGGAGGAGGGGAGAGAACTCTAAATTATACATGACACTAACAAGGATTTGGCAATGATTCAAGATGCAAGCCTTAAGAAGGGAAAAGAGATTCTTCAACCAGTCGGAATCCTTTGGTAAGAAAACCTACACTATTGTGTACTTAATGGATGGTTCAGATCAAAGTGAAACGTGTGAATGTATTCTTGTCATGCATTTTGTATTGCATTCCGGGCATTATGCCTGGCAGAGAACATTAAGCAAACGTAATAGGAGTTTTCTTATCATGATTTAACACCATGTGCACTTTGACATCTAGAGACCAGTTTTCATGTTCCGGACTTCACATAATAGTTTATCATTCGCAAAATAGAATTCTGCATTCCTGGAAACAGCCTACAACATGATAGTTTATCGCAAACTGATGGACTCTCTCCTGGTAACGTTGAGAAGAACTTGCATGAGGTTCTGCATCGGTCTGTAATATATTATAGGGCCTGGCCATGACAGAAGAAAGAGGTCGTATTACTTTAACATCGATCTACTTCCACCCTGCCATGGCAGTGTTCGGGAGGCCACCGATGAAGGTTAGACCACCACGTATAATGAGAAAAACAGTTACCCAAGCAACTGGATATGATTTTCAAAACGGTCAGACGTTTCAGGTAACATCCACTACGCTTCGTCAATGACACTGGAAAATTCTGAAAAAGAATTATAAGCACGGACTATAGATTTCGGGAGGCCATGTTCGGCTATGTGTGATAGGGGCTTAAGTAACACCCTCATACATCTCTGGCCCATTAGCACGCCCTCAAAGAGTGAGAAATGATCTGGCATCTAACAATATGGCACTTAGTTATAGTTTATACTCCAGCAATGCTCATGGAGGTACTCCGTAAAGACATTCTGCAATGTATCATGTTGTTGATGGTAGTAGGCATCCTTCCATCTCCGACCCATTACGAGTAGCAAGGAGTGAGAAATGATCTGGTATCTAGGAATATTGAAGTTATTTATTATTAAGACTCCAGTAATACTCCTGGAGGTACCCTGGTACAGACATTCTGCAGTGTATGATGTTGTTATTGAGAGTGTCGTTAAATTCCAAACTGCTTCAGACCGGCTCATTTGACACTACAAACGCAGCAGTCTGCTACATTTCGTGCAGAATAAACGGCGAGGGGTACTTCATGCTGTGCGTTTGCTTCTTACATAGATTGCGACAAGGCTTTTGCGGGTACGTCAATCATTCATAGAGGTACTTGTATGCAAGATAAGGGATGGAGAGAAGCAATTCGTGGTTGAAATGACGCGGAAACGACCATGCTAGTTTCCTTTGACATGGAGCGTAAAAGTCATAAAGTAAAGCAATAACAGCGGTGGATGGGGAAAGATATAACAGGAATCCGTGTCTGTATTATAACGCTGAAAACATCAGAATATTTTCTATGTTTGCCGCCCTACATTGGATGCCTTTAAGTACCTGAGACGAGCCCCTTTATTCATATTTAGCAAATCATCAGTTCGATACAGTGACGGATGAAAATGTCGAGAGTTCCGCTATTCAAAGGGTCAACAAAAATTCGATTCCTATGTCAAAAACGGTAACCCTTTTTCCTAACCTCGTTTCAACTCCTGTCCATTACCATCTGCAAAAGGGCCGGCCAAATAAATGTACGGCAAGTCAGTTAACCGGTCGAACTCGCCCCGGCACATCAGTGTATTGGAGCTGGTTTATTGCCGACGGCGTTTATAGATGGAAAGACAATTCCGCCAGGCCATTAAATAGGCCTTTTGCTTTGGCTTGGTGGTGAGTGCCCCATGATTTTGCGTCGATGATTACGAATAGTGTAGTCCTGGTGTGCAGGTATGTGAAATGATGGTTGCTTCCTGTTCAGATGCCAAATTGGTAAGCCAGAATTACGATTGTTGCTAGCAGTTGTCGTCGTGGGTTTAATTTGAGTGTATGACTTGTGAGAGGACGGGTCTAGGATTAAACAAAGGCGTTTATTACATGCAGAAGTTGACCTCTGATATGAGGCCCATGTTTGGACTTTGTCAATGCGCTACCGACTACACCCCCCCCCATACATTGTACTACTACATTTACAACAAGAAGAACACCATTCTGTAAGAATCGGCTACCTTGCTGCACAATACAATGTCCATGACCGTTTATTTATCAGTCTATTGCTTTGGCTGAAGCATTAGATTCCACTCAGGCTACCAAAGCATGGAGAGAAGGATAGAAAAAATACCCAGTATGACATCATAGGCCACTGAACTCCTGCTTTGCTTAACTTGACTTTCTTCGGTCCTGTACATACATGTACATGCAATTCACCTTCTGGCATGATTTTGCAAATAACGAATTATTGGCGCCTGGAAGGGAAATTACATTGTCACGACTAGACGGCTCCGACTGTTGGAACTCAGCCATACATAACTCAGGGTTGCGTCTCGGCTTGTCAGTCTGTCTCATTTGTACAAAAGTAATTAGTCTTCTGGTGAAAAGACGGATGGATGTGATACTAGAAACTCCAATACCCAATCCAATTAGTACTGCTGCTTGTAAAACTTATGAGGGGATGGGCTTGATTGATTGTATAGACGCACAGGAGGCTTTACTTCATAGCTTATTTGGGAATATGAATCCGATACGAGAAGCTGTTGTCAATTAGCTATATATATATAGTTTATCATCGAGAAATATAGTTCAAATATGTGTATCCGTCGAGATGGGGAGAAGAATAAAGTGGTAGAAAGGCTACAAAAATGTTGTTTGTTGCTAGATGTTACCCTTCACTATATCAAACACTTTTTGTAATATGTTTAATAGCTGTTGACGTACACTGTACCGTTTAATGTTGTGAAATTAAGTCTAACAATAAATTTCTTCTTGCTCCTCCTCACCAAATCATATTGTAAATGTTACATATCAAAGATGACTGGTCATAGAAATAAAATTGATGTACTTCTACTATTTTTCGGTAACAACAATTTATCTGTCAGATGGTTTGCTTTGACGCTGAGCATAGACTACCATTCATGTGGAGAGTGCAGAATAGTGCCGACAGCAGACACGTTAGTACTTAACTATTGACAGGTCGGCTTGCCATGGCTGAACCTTGGCACTGGCCACTTTAAAGGGTACCGCCGTCAGCAGGATAAGGGGAAAAGTACATCAAGCCGTCAGCAGACGCCCTCTAAGTAGAAGGTTATCGGGTTCACCCGCTCCACGGAATACCAACTCCGGCTCATATTGATTCTGCGTACCGCTTGAGTTGACAGACTGAGCTCTTTCCTACAGACAGATTTTATCATGATGACAGTTTCAGCTCTTGGTATATACACTGCCTCGTTCCTCTTCACTTGGTAAAGCTTTAACTCTTACAAATATTCTATCTCGAGTTCCCACCTTTGGACGATTGATCTCAGTTTGACATACAAGTGTATTTTGCTTATATTCTGGCATATATAACAAAAAAAAACTTGCAATTGATTGCACATCAGCAAGGTGTGTGTTGTGAATTGGTAAGATTAAGGTAATGTATTAATGTATTGAGGTACCCAATCGCACCAATTCCGTTCGGATGATGATGAAATATGATATAATAAGATATTATATATTATGAAGATAACGACGAACACCGCAATAGCTAGGAGTAATAGCTATGAATGATAGCGATGATGGATTCGACCAATTAAAATCGGCGGCTGGAATCTTGGACAACAAGCCAAGTGATGAATCCATTTTCAGTCATGATCTCCTGAGACCACTCCACTATCACCCTCACTATTCATGGAAGAAAGAGGAAGAGATGAACATCAGTAGTCGTTTTTACAACTGAAATAGATAAAATGCCGGGATACCATCAGTAGAAAGAGGCCCCGTTTCCTTTTTATGCCTACAGGCAATGTTGAACTGATCGCCGCAGTTTGGGGCATCAATTACGTTGTCCAATTCTCATTTTGTGTGGTGTATCTCCCTATATCTTTGCAGAGTTTGTACCAGCGGCATGAATTACCGGCATCAATTCTATATGTAGGAATAGGAACATTTGTCGTTGTACAACATGCAGTTCTTACGTTGTCCAATTCTTATTTTGTGTGGTGTATTTTCTTATATCTTTGCAGAATTTGTACCAACAGCATGGATTACGAGTTGGGGCATCAATTCTGTTTAGGACAAGGAACATTTGTCATTGTACAATATGCAGTTCTTACGTTGTACAATATTCTTATTTTGTGTGGCGTATTCCCTTACATCCTTTGAGGATTTGCACTAGTGGCATGGATTACGAGTTTGGGGCATCAATTCTATCACATACCAAACAGCAACATTTGCCATTGTACAATATACATTTTTAACGTTGTTTAATATTCTCAATTTGTGTGGTTTATCTCCTTGTATCCCTGCAGGCTTTGCACTATCGCCATGGATTACGAGCGTCTAAACGACAGCGACAAGCCGGTTACCTTAAACGTCGGTGGTCATATCTACACTACCGCATTCTCCACCCTCACCCGCTATCCCGACAGCACCCTCGGCGTTCTATTCGGCGGGCAGAAGTCCGCCATGTTGGATGACCGTGGGAACTACTTTCTGGACCGGGACGGCGAGATTTTTCGTTACGTGCTGAATTATCTCCGCACGGGGCAGCTCAATTTGCCGTCAAAGTTCCCAAACTTCGACCTTCTGTGTGCAGAGGCGGAGTACTACCAGATTCCAGGGTTTGGAGTTGCCTTAGCAAAGTACAGAGTAAGAGAGTTTAACAATGCCATCATTTTTAATAGCAAACTATGGCGCAAAGATTATTGCGATTTACTATGTACCTTCAGTTATACTCATGACGCATATCAGGTAACTTTAGGTATAAATAGATGCCTGATGACAAAGGCACACAATTGAATACTCTGCATTTAACTTGCGGAGATCGAGAGAGCTTTTCTGAGTATTTTTGCCAATCCTCAAAAGTGTTGCTACTCTCCAGGCAGAGGTTTAGGCTTTATATTTATTTCAGATCATGACGTGTTTATAGGCATTTTCACCGGGCTTTCTTTTTGTACTTTGTATGGGTGAAAATGGTAACTGTCTGGCAAATTTGCACTGTCTGACCAAACTAATACTGTCTCGTATCCACCAAAAGATTCGCTTGGAGATTCGTGTGTTGCCAAATCCAGTGATCATAGTTCATTTTTCCAGGCCGGCTTGGGAAACATCTGCGTGATTCTTGACGTCAGTCCTGAAGGATCTTCTCTCGGCGTCTTCGGAGCTCGGAATCTTCTTGAAGAAACCCTCGGGACAACATCAGGGAAGTTCCGAAGCCAGTACTACAGCGACTGCGTGGTGAAGGCGGTGGAGATCTTCGACAAGCTCACCGCGCGAGGTTTCATCCTGCAAGGTGCCACAGCGACATCTAGCGAGACTGAGGAGAACGGCCTCAATCAGCAACAGACCTGGACATTCTGCCGTTCCTGTTACACTTAGAGAAACGTTGCCACTGGATATCACGTCCAACTATCTTATCATATAGCTGCCTTGTTATGTAAATATTCATTCTACTGACCAAGACCAGAGTGACTGGTTGAAAGCTCTGTGTGAGTGAACTTTATTGTGATGGATCTAAAGTTTTAACTTTAAACATGTAACGTTACTACCAACACAGAGCTGGTGTGTTACGCCGAAAGGCGGTTATACCGGCTATACAGATACAGATGAGCTTTCATGATAGTATTCAGAAAATAGTATACGGTTCCCTGTATTCGGTGAAAGTATGTGCCAACGGTACTACATAATCTACATTATAAGCTAACGTTAACACTCAAACGTTACACATAAGCCTAACGTTATGTGGTACACTCTCATATATTAGCCTCCAAAAGGCCTTCCTAAGTGGATCGTAAAATTCGGGAAAAAATATGAATAGTTGGCCAGGTCAGTCAATATAAAAAAAAATGTTAAAATTTGTATTGTGGCATTTTTGTAACCTTTCTTTCCGTAGCTCGGTCTGTCGGCTTTTACCAACGATGCCGAATTAGAGTAATGACATCTAAGCAACAATACACGAAGTGATCTTCAAGGATATGCATGTTGCTATCTTTACTGTTTTCCCAAACTCTGTGTACATATCTAGTTAACAAATATTCGAGAATCAAAGAAATAAATTAAACTCTAGTGTCGACGTCCAATGCCTAACTAATGTACATCACACATACATACACTTTGGTGTCCCTCTTGTTTAAATAACGTTACCCATTTCGTCGTGTGACTGTTTTAATAGAACTACAATGTTTAGCTTAGAGTTTATGAATCAATACTTATATTATAAGTTATAGTCCAAAATGATACAAAGTTGTATGGCGGCACTAGCGGTGAGTTTTCGTGTGTTGTTTCAAACCATTCAGTCTGGCGAATGTCTTGCCACACGCGTCACACTCGTAAGGTTTCTCACCGGTGTGTTTCCGCAGATGTTCCACCAAGGAGCCATTCTGCGTGAACCGTTTGTGACATTCGGGACAGGCGTAGGGTTTCTCGCCGGTGTGAATCCGCACGTGTTCTTTTAAGCTATCGAGTAGACTGAACCGTTTCGGGCACTGCTCGCACGTGTAGGGTTTCTCTCCTGTGTGAGTGCGAAGGTGTCTTTTTAAATCGCTCATTTGAGCGAACGTCTTTTTGCACTGCTCGCAGGTGAAAGGCCTCTCACCTGTGTGGGTCAAAGTGTGCTGTTGTAAATGCCCCAGTCGGGTGAAACACTTTAAACACACCCCGCACTTAAATGGTTTCTCCCCGGAGTGAATGCGCATGTGGTCCTTCAGCCTGCTCAGTTGGGTAAACCGCTTTCTGCACTCCTCACATTGGTACGGCTTTTCCCCGGTGTGAGACCGCAGGTGCGCTTTCAGAGTGCTCATGACGCTAAACCTCCTGCCGCAGTCGTCACACTGGTAGGGTTTCTCTCCTGTGTGGATTCTCATGTGTCTGGTCAAGTCGATCCGCCAGGCAAAAGACTTGTCGCACGCGCTGCAGGTAAACGGCGTCTCGCCCGTGTGAGCTCGCGTGTGCTGTTTCAGGTCTCCCAGGCGGGAAAACTGCTTAGCGCACGAGTTACAGCTGTACGGTTTCTCACCCGTGTGCACGCGCATGTGCTTCGCCAGGTAGTCCGCCACGCTGAACCGCTTTGGGCATTCCGTGCACTTGTAAGGTATCGCACCGGAGTGAGTGAGGGCGTGTCGCTTCAAGTCGCTCTGCCGGCAGAAGTCCATGTCGCACTGCGCGCACTGGCAGGGTCTCTCACCGCTGTGAACGCGCAGGTGGCTCTTCAAGTCGCAGGAGAGGACAAAGCGTCGTCTGCACTGACCGCAGACGTAAGGTCCCTCACCGGTGTGAGTCAGCAGGTGTTGCTTGAGGTGGTGCTTGAGAAGAAACCGTTTGCCGCAGTCGTCGCACTTGTAGCGCCGCTCGCACTCCCGATTGGCTGTGTGCGCCTGCAGGCTCGTGACGTCAGGGAAAATGGCGTCGCACAGTTGACACGTCATCTCTGAATTCGAAGGTGACCCACCTTTATTCCCAAGGTCAAGGGCACCTTCAAGTGTTTCTGCGACACTGGATGTTGTAGCGGCCTCCATTTTTGAACACTAATTATATAAAAGAAGAAAAAATCGGACGTGAGGACAATTTCTATCCTAGAAATCTGATTTTGCCAACTCATAGCGCATTTGAAGGCTTGAACATGCTTTTTAAACATGTATTACCATACATAATGCATATAATGTACGGCAGCATTTGCACCATTTTTTCTGCACGGTTGACAAGACAGTCACTCAAGTCCCAAAGTCGTGAGGCTGCATTCCTGACGGTGACTGTACCGTTGTCAGATAAATAAACATACGATGAAGGTGTATATTGTTCCACAACTCAACCTTCAGGTGTACTAATCCTTCAGCAATGTGTAGTTCTTCCTTACAAGTAGATGGACCGTAACCCTGGAATTCGGGGAGGGGTAGGTTGGTTTCCATGGGTGGATGGGTTACAACAATTAAAACAGCCATCTTCTCTTGAGCTAAAGTATTATAATACTATACCGACATATAGGAAGCGTTAATGTAACGTGGCTCGCTTAACGGTAAATTTAAGAGCAGTAGTTTGCACCTCTACCTCCAGCGACGTGCATACTTACTTCTTGTAACTTGTAGGCTTGCTTTCTTCCTTTAGATTATGCCACCAGCCGCCACCCTTGCTAACCCGGATACGTGCTCGGATATGTATATAGATACAAAACGTGACGTGGCAGTAGTACTATATGTATGGAGTGATTTGATGTTGACCAAAAGATTGATTTCTTATTTCAGTGGCCCATGCATAAATCCTTTTATCCCAGAGACTACGAACGAATGAATTACTGAGATTCGCATGAATGAATGAATGCATGATTTAGGTAGGTCCCTGTAGTTTTAAAAGACAAACCGACACAACTTTACAGCCTGGATGCCAGACTAATTTCAGGGCCAACAGTGCCAAGTTAGAGCCTGAGAAGCTCAGAGTCTAACTGAAGGCGTCTGTGGTAAAATTGCCTTGGGGACAGATTGGCCCAGGAGCCAAGGAGCCAGTCTGTATACTGTCCCAGCCCACAGTCTGGCACCCAGGCTAGCCCGTCCACCTTCCCTCAGTTTATGCTTCAATATGAAGAGAGAACGGGAACATACCTTAACAGTAGACACCTGTGTTGGTATCACACAAGAAGCGTCGACAGTAGGATCCTTAAGGTTCTTTGATGTGACCGCTGTGCTATTTTCCCCAGTAATCTCTGCCGTACGTGTTCAAATGGCTGTTGTTTTCTCTGGTACTAAACTCAACCCCCGCTTACAGCCTCAAAACGCACGTAGAACCCGGATGTCACGGCTGGGCGCAGACAACGCAAATAAATAATGTTCGGGGGGGGGGCAGCGACATCCGCCTCGTACTGTTCGGTATGACACAAACGATTGCCTCATTTGTACTCAAAAGTCTTACAAAAGACAACAGGATGGAGGAATTTTGTCAACCCCCTTCATGAATTTTTGAAGAATGATACAATTTATCCTTCTAGAAGAGAAAAAAGCTTGGTTTATTCGACCTCAGGCTTAATGCAATATATAATACTACCAACATCTAGCGTGTTGTGGAAATCTAGACATCCTCTGGTTTTGTTTCTTCTACGATGGGGTTATTTTAATATAGCTCTGAGTTAACGTTATACATGTACTAGAGAACATACCAACACCCCTAGACGCCTTGTCGCTTTTGCATAAGCGACCCCTGCGATAACAGATACGAACTACAAGCAAAATTAGCCACAAAAGTGGTTTTCGTCAGTAAATGTTGTAAAAAAAAACAGCATGACGTTGAAAATATTATTCGTTGCTTGGAAACTTGCCAACAGTACTAGCTCATAAAATGGCTGTTGCAAAGGAAAATCAGCATTTGAAGGAAAATATTAATTGGTTGTGTCGCAGCATTTTGGCGCGTGCACACCGAGGCATCTAGGGAAGTCTCGCGTAGAGGCGTAGGTCACCACAGGCGGGTCACAATAGGCGGTCACCACAGGCGGACTGTACCATTTCATGTGCGGGGGAGGGGCATTATCTGAAATTCAATGCCGTGTCCTGTTACACACATGTTTGCATACCCGCTGCCCCTCTATTACATTACAAAGCAAAGAGACATAATTTCTTTTCCAAGTATTTTTGGGAGCATTTTGTAAATTACGTAAATTATGATCAGGATTACAATGGGGCATTTGCAATGTGTGAAGCTATCCTTGTCTAGCTATCCTGCACACAATCTACAATTCCCAATCATTAGTTTTTAATGAATGTGCTTGATTAGGCTAAAGAGCACTGCCTCTTTTTTAGAATGGGAGACGGTCACGAGAGGCGGAAGATTAAAGCTTTCTCCTAACGTGGAAAAGGACATTTCTGATGACTTT